ATGGAAATATTGGGGGTACAATGTCTCCGTACGTTCATGAGATGGGCGTGTCAGGCACCGCACTCGTGGTAGGTAAATGTTCATGATTACTGTCTTGTGGATCATTGTCTATCACTGTATTATTGTCACTATCAATTTCATCCAATTCAGGAATCATTATTTCATCGCCACTATCATCATCAGAACAAATCTCGTTCACAACATTTTCCAGATGGTCTGTAGGAACACGAAGACACTTGCTGCAAGAAGCCATGGTGAAACTGAATGAATGTGAAATATTTTCTGACCTTTTCCTTCTCAGAGGGTTCTGACAGTAATATAGACCCCAACAAAGTTTACAAGGATTCTTTACAAACATGCACAAAAACTATCATATATATGTCTTTGGTTGATGAGTGCCAAGAGAGCAAAGAAGGGAAGAGATTGTCAAAGCGTTAAAACACGCCAACGCCAGGGAACGGCTGGCATCGTCCGGGCGTTAAAACACGCCTGTGCCAGTCAAAGAGTTAAAGTCGATGTATGAAAAATGAACTTGCCAGAAGTTAGGATCTAGATCATATTGTAACAATTATAGTGACTGTATATGGGGTTTGGATTGGCAAATGGGCTTAATGAACACTTACAGGTCATAACTACAAATAAATGTAACAGTATCACTATTTCAACACTTTACAGCACACTAGAGTGCACAGTCTAAATGTTCTCAGTCTGTTACTTGACATTTTCTGGTAATGGCTCCTACAGTGGCTATTCCTCTCCTTCGTGCACAAGTCCTCTCTTCACAGACTGCCATACAGAACTAACTGTGAACTAACCTTCTTCTTTGCTTATAACATCTCAGCACATACCACACAGAAAACACAATTCTTCCTTTGTTGTGGTCCAACTGTTGCACTATTAGGAATCTGCTGCCTAACAACAGGAACATGTTACTGAGCCGTTGCCCAGAAGCGGCCGTGGTTTATCTGACCATCTCACGGTTGTTGCATAGTAACGGTTCTACACACTACATTACTCCCTCCTTAAGGCTATGCATCTTGATTGACCTATAGGTGTACTGCGATTTCTTCTCTTCCGAGAGCTGTGCTTGCAATGTCCGTGCTTGGTCTCACATTCCTCCCTGTGGCTCAGTTATCATGGTGTTTACTCTCCAACTGCCCCCTCCTTAAGGCTGTTCTTCCTGAGCAGTGCCCACATAGGTTGCCATTTGGTCCAGGTTCATCACCATCGTCCTGCTTTTCCAATCAGTGGGAACAAAACCAGCTAAAGTGGCCGATGTGCTTACATCTTTGACTCATACTCTGTGCGTAGTCTCGTCTTCCATATCGGAAGGGGCTGACCCCTCCACAATGTCCTGATATTCATTTTCCAAAACCCTGAAGGTTTGACTCTTCACTTCATGATTTCCAGCACGAGACCCTTCCTGAAGATCCTGCTGGATACCTTCTTGCTTCCTGGATACCTGCTGTGCTCCTTTAAGTCTTGGCCCCTCATTCCATTGCTGCATTCCATTTTGCCCGACCTCTTGGCACAGCCTTGTCCTTGCCTTGTCCCCGACAGCAGTGTCCTTTACGCCATGCAGAAATGGCACGGCGGGTCAGCAGTCCTTGGGCAGTGGCCAACTTCTTCCAGGACCTACCATTGCCCTGGGTCTGTTTCTTCGGCAGATCATGCATTATTAAGAATCTGCTGCCTAGCAAGGGGAACATGTTTACAGAGCTGTTGCCCAGAAACGGCCCTGGTATATCTGTCTGTCTCATGGCTGTTGCATAGCAATGGTCCTAGATGCTACAATATTGTTGTGTTATTTTTTGTGTTTGCTTATTATACGGAAATTATTAAAATATTCAACTGTTCTGTAGTTTCCTAATTTTCCATAGTAAACCAGCAGGCATTTCAGGAACAAAAAGAGGAAATATCTGAAAGACAAAATTGATGAGCTTGCAATGAACAGTAAGCACAAGAACAGTATAGACCTGCATAGAGGAATAAATGGCTTTAAGAGGAGTTATCAGCCTAGCAGTAACTTAGTGAAGGATGAGAATGGTGATCTGCTTGCAGATTCCCACAACATTTTGAATAGGTGGAGGAACTACTTCTCTCAGTTATTGAATGTACATAAGGTCAGTGATGTTAGGCAGACAGAAATCCACAGAGCTGAGCCATTAATACCTGATCCTAGCCCTTTTAAGTTTGAAAGTGCTGTTGCAAAATTGAAACAGTATAAATCTCCAGGTAGTGATCAAATTCTGGCATAACTTATTCAAGCAGGAGGCAAAATATTACATTCTAAGATCCACGATCTAATTATATTTGGCATAAGGAAAAATTGCCTGATCAGTGGAAGGAGTCTATTATTGTACCAGTTCACAAAAAGGGTGATGAAACTGACTAGTAATTATTGGGGGATATCACTGCTATCTACTTCATACAAAATTTTGTCCAATATTTTTCTCTCAAGGTTAAGTCCATATATAGATGAAATTATTGGGGATCATCAAAGTGGGTTTCGACATAACAGACCAACTACAGATCAGATCTTTTGCTTTCGTCAGATATTGGAGAACAAATGGGAGTACGATGAGAGAGTACATCAGCTATTCATAGATTTCAAGAAAGCCTATGACTCAATAAGGAGGGAAGTATTGTACAATATTCTGATAGAGTTTGGGGTACCCATAAAACTAGTCAGGCTGATTAAAATGTGTTTAAACAAAATGTATGGTAAAGTCCGTATAGATAAATATTCGTCTGATAAATTTCCTATCCAGAATGGTCTAAAACAAGGAGATGCTTTATCGCCACTCCTTTTCAACTTTGCTTTAGATATGCCATTAGGAAGGTCCAGGGAAACCAGTTGGGACTGAAATTAAATGGGACACATCAGCTGTTGGCCTATGCCGATGATATGAATCTACTGGGTGATAATGTAGATGCCATAAAGAAAGACACACAAACTTTAATTGATGCAAGTGAAGAGGTTGGTCTAGAAGTAAACACAGAGAAAACTAAGTATATGTTGCTGTCTCATCAACAAAATGCAGGGCAAAATCATGATGTAAAGATAGGGAACAGATGTTTTGAAAATGTGGCACAGTTCAGATATTTGTGAACGATGATAACAGATCGAAACCTGATTCAGGAAGAAATTAAGAGGAGACTGAACTCAGATAATGCTTGCTACCATTCAGTGCAGAACCTTTTGTCTTCTCGTCTGCTGTCCAAAACCATAAAAATTAGAATATACAAAACTATAATTTTGCTTGTGGTTCTGTATGGGTGTGAAACTTGGTCTCTGACATTAAGTGAGCAACATAGACTGAGGGTGTGTGAGAACAGGGTGTTGAGGAGAATATTTGGACCGAAGAGAGATGAAGTGGCAGGAGGTTGGAGAAAACTGCATAATGAGGAGCTTCATAATTTTACTCTTCTCCAAGTGTAATTAGAATGATTAAGTCAAGGAGGATGAGGTGGGCAGGGCATGTAGTACAAATGGGGGAGACCAGGAATATGAAGGGAACTTTTCAATATGTTGAATAAGGAGTTGTGGGTGTTTCTTGGACTTCAGGATTGGTCGTTGGGCCAAGAACCACGTCTTGTTAAAATCTAGCATCTTAAAACATGTGAACTTTGGCATTCTCATAGCACTGAATGCTAAGACTGCTGTCATCTAGACTGTAATTCCCTGTAGTTTGGCAGATGAGTACCAGAATTTTCAAGTAACACACTGTCACCATCTTTGTGATGAAAGAGACAGGTGCAGTGCATTCCTCCAAAATGTTAGTAATTATCTACTGGACCACACGTAGAATATTCAGAACGTCTTCTGATTAATATACAAGAGTAACTCGCAGATTTAAAAGCAGGCAGAACATTGAAACTAAAACTTCTCGAAGTGCCTTTGGATGCGTTTTGGTTGGCAATAAAGAGTGAATACCCGGCTATCTCCGAGATGGCAGTTAATGTGTTATTGCCATTTTCAATTACATATTTGTATGAACTGGACTTCTCGACGTTAACTGAAATTAAGGCATCAAAGAGGGAGCGGCTCAGATCCATCGATGAAGAAATAAGGCTTTCGTTGTCAACGATTCCACCACGGATCAGTCGCCTCTGTGCAGCTACACAGGCGCAATCATCACATTGAAGTTATGAGTAGAATTACTGTATTTACTTTAACAGTAATAGAAGTGTATTTTCTACACTCTACAGTGAATTAAAGTTCATTAATTGTTAATGAAAGCACAAGTCGATTTCTCTTTAATGATAATAAAATAACAATATAATAATATTATAGTAAGAAGTTGATCACATTACGTATTTATATTAATTGTCTGATATCATGCGTATTTGAGGGGAATAACATTTTGGTGTGCCTTGTTGAGTCACGGATACTTCATGGTGTGCCGCAAGTAGAGTCAGGCAGTATGAGACTTAGTCTCCTTCCTGGCTAGGTGGTCAGAGTAGGCATTTATCCTGTAGGACACCTTTAGATTTTGACAGGCAGACTGATGGGTGTCATGCAGCCGTTCCGTGAGGTATACCACGTGGTCAATTGTGGGTTGCTCCTTGTCAGGGGGGAGCTGAAACAGCAGGTCTCAGGTTAGACGTGGGACCCTCCTGATTGCAAATCCGACAGCCATCATGCCTGTAGTTTTGTTGGTTGATGCTCTATATGCCAGAAGGAAGAGGGATAGCCTTTTGACCCAATCTCTGGTGCTTCAAAATTACCTTCCTCAGGTGTTTGTCACCTGTCTGCATGTATTGTTCTCACATACTGTCCAATCATTGATGCAGAGGGGTGAAAAGCTTTTAGCAGAGTCTCAGGTGCTGCAACACCCTGTTACAGTCATGATTCAATGTTCTGGCCATGGTCGCTGTGTAGTTCCCTCAGTTTTCATCTACAAGTGGAGAAAGAACACTCCAGTAATCAGGTAAGGATATGGAGAACCAATTTTGGAGGTGCTGTCATTAAAGCACACCTAACTGGAGACCCACATTTCCAGTTTTGGTCCTTATGTATGCCATGACAAGAGGGGTACAGTGTGGCAGAGCAGTACTGTAACTTTTAACAAATTGTCATATCTGCTTGCAGGTGCCAGTCTTTATGTGATTTAAGCTTTCAACTAGAGCAAGATGTGGCGTGTCGCAATTCTGAAGTATCTAAGTTGCAGCAAACAGTGAGTGACCTTCAAGTTTATGTGCAGCAGGAACGTGAACATGTCTTACGATTGTCTGCTGAAAATGATGGACTGCAAGTATGTTTACTTTCAGATTCTGTGTTATAATTATTTTATAATTTCTCAGAAAGAAGAAGCTTAATTTTTAATTGGATGGTCATGTGGTCCATTATCACACTCAGGGTTGCTCGGTTTTTGGATTCTGCCCATTGTCCATTTTTTTATTCAGAAATTGGATCTGTTTCTCTTCTGCGGTTAAAGGGTGGGAGACTCATACTCTGTTGGGTCCATTAGAGAGGTCCAGTGATTGAGGTTAGCTCATTCTAATAGATTCAACAGAGCAGGTGCTTCCCATCCTTTCACCTGAGGACAGAAACGGTTCCAGTTTGCAAACAAATGTGTTCTTTAGAATACTGAATGATGGACGAAATCCAAGACACCAGTAATTCTGAATATTATTCATTGTCGTTTGAAGCCTTTAGAATTTGTCAGATACCCAAGTTTAAATTGCATGTATTTGTTGAAATACATTATGTATAGAATTTATTTTTTTCTTATCCCTCCTGTTTACATGGAGTGGTAAAAGATACGCCTGTTCATGTGAAACCTTGAACTGGTTTGGCTTAATGGTTAAAGAATCATTTTTAAGTAATAAAGTTTCATTCTCAAATTGTGCAGAGCATCAGTTCTCAACTATCATTAAAGTGAGTCTGATGCCATTTACCTATATTTACTTATACAGTAAATTCAGGTATCTGGTATTCAAGCAGCCAGTATTATCATCCCACTGGCAAAAATTTAGAAGAAGTTTATCATTCATATAGTTATTCAAAAACAAATCTGTGATGCCCCTGTGTTCACCCACTTCACGGTAGTTGTGCAGTCACCATTAGCAGCTTTGCTCATCTTCCTCCTCCACAGAGGTGTTGAATGTGTAATTGTGTCACACACTCTTTCATCTATCACTCCAGCATGTGTTACAGGGAAACTCCCATGCAAGAACTAAAGCAAAAACACTTCCTTATACAGGTACATGTGGCAGAGGACCAGAAGAAAATTGCACTCCTCTTATCCCTGAACCATATGACTGAACATGACATTGTATATCTTTCATCTTTTCCACAACGTAGGGTGGACCAGTCTCAGTTTATTCATGGGGTAAGAAATGTGAAGGGTGAGTTTATTATTTGCTTCCAGAATAAGAAAGGCAGTAGATATTATACCGTATGTTGAACCTTATTTGAGCTCCAGCATACCTTTGTTAGAAAATATTTCAAACATTTTGTGATACAGGTATTTTCTCTGAGTTTTGTTGGGTACATATTCTTATGAACACTGTGGTTTGACAGTTGAAATTTAACAGCACATTTACAAACACATTAAATTTTCTGCTGAGAATGTGGTAAGATTAAACTATTTGGGATCATCACTGACAAATCAAAATTGCACTCATGCAGAATTGAAGAGCAGGTTAACATTTGGAAAATGCTTGCTACTATTCAGTTCAGAACCTTTTGTCTTTTTGTCTGCTGTCTGAAAATATAAAGATTATAATGTAACTGTAATTTTGCCTGTTGTTTTGTATCGATGTGAAACTTCGTCTCTCACACTGAGGGAACAACACAGATTGAGGTATTTGAGAACAGGGTGGTAAGGAGAACATTTAAGTCTAAGTGGGAGGAAGTGACAGGAGTCTGAAGAAAACTCCATAATTAGATGTTTCATAATTTTTACTCACCAGATACAGTAAACCCTCGCAAATCTGGAGTAAGAGGGGGAGAGGTCAACTGGATCAAGTGATAATCGAGATTAGTGAAGCAAAAGGCAGCCCTAAAACAAGAAGGAAAGAAACTGGAGCACAAATAAGTGGAGACTTTAATGATATAAGTAGCACTGACGAGAATAAATAGAAAAATATAACTGTAGAGCCTTTATTTAAGAACTATAGCAAGACAGTACATACATATATTCATCGATAGAGGACTCGGAAGTTGCACTTGTTTTTGAGCACAATGTTGCAGGTCTGTCTTAACAGACGAGTGGCTCACCCGCCTTCCTAAATGCTGTGTCTCTTTTAAAGTGTGTACGAGGGGGTACCCAAAAGAAACCGAACTTATTTTTTTTTTAACTTATTTATTCACATTTTAAGCACAAACCTTCAATCCCCTTCAAAGTACTCTCCACTTACACTAATACACTTGTCTAGTCTTTTATTCCATTTTTCAAAACATTGTCTAAATTCATCTTTTGAGATGCTTGACAGCGCCTCCGTCATTTTTTTCCTTCACCTCAGCAACATCAGCAAAACGCTGAAAAAAGGTTTTGATCATTTCGGGACTCTTCTTTCAAAGCACAGCATGCTTCCACGCGACCTTTTTTTGTTCAGCAGTCAGCAGTCGTGGCACGAATTTCGCAGCCACCCTTTTCATTCCCAAATCTTCTGTAAAAATTCGCTGAACTGAGCTCCAAGTCACTCCTGGCAGCTCCACAATTTCTTCAATGGTCCGTCATTGATCTTCCTTGATGATTTCATGAATTTTTTCAACATTTTCATGTGTTCGGGCCATTGCAAAAACGACGATCACACAAAACAGTTGTCACTATAAACTCTGCCGAAACTAGTCCTTACCTTCTGAAGCAATGGTAGTCGGCTTATCGACTCAGGAATGTTAGCTCTATGCGCTCATAGCGGCAAAACGCGGTACTACAAAAGCTCTGCCCACAAAAAAAATTAGTTCGGTTTCTTTTGGGTACCCCATCGTACTCAGCTGTGAACGGTGTTTGTAATTCTTCATATTTTGATTTACTTTATTATTAGGATGACCAAAATAAAGGGGTTAAGATGGATGGAACATGTAACATGTATATGAGAGAAGAGATGTGCATAACATGGTTTTGGTAGGGAAATCCAGAGGAAGGAGACCACTTGGAAGACCTTGCTTGGCATAGGTGGGGGGATAATATTAAAACCAATGATATTGTGAGTAGCACAGACTACTGCAGCATTGACAGAAGTGTGCATATCTGAACATGTTGCAGAATAGCCTCATATAATTTACAAAGCTTGAATAATGTGATGAAAATCTGACAAATGTAATGTATGGTAATACCAAGACAAAAAACCAATAATGGTATTGATGTTCTACAGACAAATACAAACAAGATACCAGTAACAGTTCACCTGATGTTAACGGTAAACTTGATCCAGACAGAGCCTCTATAGAGGCCACTGCTCTCTGTGCCCAGTTGGAAGAACGTGTTAAGGTTCTTCATAACCAAGTGCTCTCCCTTTTAAAAGACAGAGAAATTAGCTGGAAGGAAAGAAATTTAGAACAGAGAAGACTTCAGGAACAAGTATGTGCTCTTTCTAACAGGTGGGTAAAGAGACTTGAGCAGTGACAAATAGACATAAATCTAAAGGGTGATATATATTTCATGCTAATAGTAGATGAAACTTCTTTTCCTTTCAGATTAAAAGATACTCAAGATAAATTGTGTGATGTCACAAAAGAGCTGGTTGAATGTAAAAAAGACAGTGGGAATAAGGAACTCAAATGGATGATTGAAAGGAATAAAATATTGCAGAATTTGGAACTGTGTCAGGAGAGGCTAGGAGAGACTTATCCATCTGTGTCAGGTTTTGCTGTGTCAGGAAGTGGCAGCAACTTGAAACCGAAATCCAGTTCACAACTTTGTGCAGAGATTCATTCTTTAAAGGTGAGATAACATAAACTAATTTGTCTCCATGCTGGCAGTATTTATGGTGCTGGGCATATGCTTCAGTTCGCTCTTTACACAGGTGGTCATGGAAAGAACAAAAAGATGCTCCTGTCTCCTGATGGGGCCTGAAACCAAGAATGACTGTACTTGCAAAGGCCAGCAGTAAACTACTGCTCTGTGCTGTCCATCTGTTTCACCCTGTTTCTCGTGAACAGTGTATACAGACGGAAGATGTTTCTCCTGGAGAGACAACCCCAGAAGAATTGTTAATTTTGCTGCCGTGTGCAAGGATTTGAGTTCAAGCCAGTTTATTTCCCATCAGTTCCTCTGTTAGAAAGGCATTTGGATTGTGACAACACTGCAATCATTGCTAGGTCATAATTTCTTCTGATGTTGCTAAGATGTGGAGGAAAACCCAGACTACCTTCTCTTGTTACTAAGATACGGGTGAAGATCCACACTACCTTCTGCCATTACTAGGATACAGAGACATCCCAGATTTGCTTCTTTGTTTCTAGAACATGAGGGGAATCCAAACCATGTCTTGTTGCTGCTAAATAAGGGAGAGCAGTGACAGGACAAACATATAATTGGGATGAGAAAGAAATACAGGCGCAAAGACTGAAGGATATGAAGGTGTAAAATGGATAAAAGTATAGAAGAATGGGGGTGAGGGTGTCACTTAGCTTGAATGAGAGGCAGGAAGGAAGAAGATAGAGAATGATAGGATGCACAAGAGATGGAAAAGAATACCGAAGAAAGAAGGGAAGGAGATAAAAGTGAGATAGGGACATAGGAAAGGAAGAAAGAAATTATTATTGACCATCAAATTTGATGGTTAATGTAAGCAACTATTCTCACTCACTCACTCATGGAGCCGAGTTCTTCAGAAGCCTCCAATTTTGCAGCTACTCAAGAACTTCCCAGCATTTTATGGAACCCAGAGTTCATTACCGTGTTCACAAGAGCCCTCCAATGGTCCCTATCCTGAGCAAGATCAATCCAATCCATCCCATCCCATCCTATCCCTCTGAGATCCATTTTAATATGTCCACCCACCTACGCCTTGGTCTTCCCAGTGGTCTCCTTCCTTCCGGCTTATCCACCAGTATCCTATATGCATTCATCTTCTTCCCAATTCATGCTATATGCCCTGCCCATCTCATCATTCTTGGCTTGATAACTCTAATTATATTTGTCAAGAGTTCAAGTTATGAAGCTCCTCATTATGTAGTTTTCTTCAACCTCCCATAACTTGATCTCTCTTTGATCCAAATATTCTCCTCAACACCCTCAGCCTATGTTCCTCCCGAAATGTCAGACCAAACTTCACACCCATACAGAACCACATCAAAATTATAATATTGTATATTGTAAATATATATTTACATTTTGAGACAGCAGATGAGAAAACAAAAGGTTCTGGACTGAATGGTAGCAAGCATTACCCAAATTCAGTCTTCTCTTAATTTCCTCCTGAATGAGGTTTTGATATGTTAGGGTGGCTGCACACCAACTACGTCAAGACAAGCATCAAGGCATGAGACAAAAGACGCAGTCTTGCTTCATTCATGATTCGTCAGTATGAAGCTGACGTCAGCATAATGACTCAGACCGGTTTTCATAATCTCATTCATTTCAACTGTGCTCCTTTCTTTGCGTCATGTTAAATACCTGAACTTTGCCACATTTTCAAGACATATGTTAGCTATCTTTATGTCATGATATTGTCCTGCATTCTGGTGTTGAGACACCAACATATACATATGAGGGTTGGAACTTTAATAGTGGTGACACTGCTGTAGAGACGCCATGCAATAGAACCAAATAATGTCGCTTATACCACACATTACATACCTACCTTACCTCAGAGCAAATGGACTCTCCCTTCCCACATCATGCGCATGTGCAGTGACGAGACGAACAGAGCCTCGTGTTAGCTGGCAGTCTAATATAGTGTTACAATGTTTTTGAAACAGGAACAACAGAGTTGGATAAAGATTGAATGTGCCAGAGGCTGTACAGCACAACAATGTCATCAAGGTCTTCAAAAGGCTTGCGGGGAATCTGCATTGCCTTACAGAACAGTGGCAAGGTGGGTAAAAACCTTCAACGAGGGACGCCAATTGTGGCAGACATGCATTGGCCAGGTCATCCTAGTGTCAGTGAAGAAGAAGTGTATGCTCTTTTCACGTTACTGGAGAGTGACCGACGCCATATGATTTGTGAGCTGGCCCAAGAGACAGCATTAGCACATGCGACTGTGCTTCACATTCTGAAGGAATGCCTGGGCATGAGAAAAATTGCATCACAATGGGTTCCGCATGATTTGACGGAAATGCAGAAATGGCTATGTTACGACGCTGCTCGTAACCACTTGGAGCACTATGAGCGCGAAGGAGAGGCTTTCTTATGCTGTATCATTACGCTGCATGAGACATGGGCCAAATTGTACAAGCCACAAATGAAATGCCAATCAAACGAATGGCATCATTACGGGTCTCCACAAAAATCAAAAGTTCATCAGAACCCCAGCAATGTGAAAGTTATGGTGATTCTCATGTACGACTGTGATGGTGTTATCCTAACGCATACCGTTCCCCGACAGCAGACCGTCAATATGCAGTATTACTGTTCATTTTTGGAACACAACCTGCTACCAGCTTTGAGAAAGAAGTGGCAACACTTTCTGCAGAACCCACCCATCATTCTGTAGGACAATTCTCGGTTGCATGCAGCGCAAGCTGTGGCTGATTTGTTCGATTGATGGGGCTGGGAAGTGCTGTACTATCCACCATACTACCCGGACTTAAGCCCTTGTGACTTTGACTTTATTCCTAAGATGAATGAACCACTTCATGGCATTCGCTTCAGAACTGTTCCAGAGATTCTTCAGGCAGTAGACCGCTCCACTTGAACTATCAACACAACAAGCCCTGCTAAAGGTATCCTACGCCTTCCACATCACTGGCAATGGGTTGTACACAATGCTGGTGACTACAGTGAAGGACAGTGAAACTTCGAAACATGCATCTATTTTGTATCAGTCGTAAATAAATAGTTGCCACTATTAAAGTTCCAACCCTCGTAGTTTTCTCTGTGTTTACTTTTAGACCCACCTCCTTACTACCATCAATGCTTGTGTGTTTTTTCTTTATGGTATCTATATTATCACCCAGTAGAATCACAACATCGGCATAGGCCAGCAGCTGATGTGTCCAATTTAATTTCAGCCCCAACTGGTTTCCCTGGACCTTGCTAATGGCATATTCTAAAGCAAAGTTGAAAAGGAGTGGCCATAAAGCATTTCCTTGTTTTAGACCATTCTGGATAGGAAATTTATCAGACGAATATTTATCTATACGGACTTTACCATACATTTTGTTTAAACACATTTTAATCAGCCTGACTAGTTTCATGGGTACCCCAAACTCTATCAGAATATTGTACAATACTTCCCTCCTTATTGAGTCATAGGCTTTCTTGAAATCTATGAATAGCTGATGTACTCTCTCATTGTACTCCCATTTTTTCTCCAATATCTGACGAATGCAAAAGATCTGATCTGTAGTTGATCTGTTACGGCGAAACCCACACTGATGATCCCAAATAATTTCATCTATATATGGACTTAACCTTGAGAGAAGAATGTTGGTAAAATTTTGTATGAAGTTGACAGCAGTGATATCCCCCAATAATTGCTACAGTCAGTTTTATCAACATTCTTGTGAACTGGTACAATAATAGACTCCTTCCACTGATCAGGCAATTATTCCTTATGCCAAATAGAATTAATTAGCTTATGGATCTTGGAACGTAATATTTCACCTCTTGCTTGAATCAGTTCTGCTGGAATTTGATCACTACCTGGCAATTTATACCTTTACGACTTTGCAATACCAATTTCAACCTCAAGAGGGCCAGGATCAGGTATTAATGGCTCAGCTGTATGTATTTCTATCTGCCTAACATCACTGACCGTGTGAACATTCAATAACTTGAGAGAAGTAGTTCTTCCACATATTCAAAATACTGTGCAAATCTGCAAGCAGATCACCATTCTCATCCTTCACTAAGTTACTGCTAGGTTGGTAACCCCTCTTAAAGTCATTTATTCCTCTATACAGGTCTCTAATGTTCTTGTTCTTACTGTTTGTTGCATGCTCATCAATTTTGTCTTTCAGATATTCCCTCTTTTTGTTCCTGAAATGCCTGCTGGTTTCGTGTCTTATATTGTTCAGATTATCCCTATTTATTTCACTTGGATCCTGTAACCATTGCAATTTGGCCTGCTTTCTTTGGTCTAGTAATTTTGAGCATCCTTCATTGAACCATGGCTTGTGCTTCTTCAGTTCATAATAACCTTGGTTCTCCTTGGCTGAAATTTTTATATTCTCTTATAGTTTCCCAGGCTCTATTAATATCCACCTCAGTGTCTAAGTCAGTGTTTGTCAACCATTGTGAGACCGCGGCCTGGTAAATCTTGTTTTACAAGATGCGGGCCTGGTCTGAACAAATTTACTTGTAAATATTGTAACGTGTTTGGAGTAGATACTTCCATGGCAACGCAATAACAGTGGGCCGCTGCGTAGACAATGCTGAAACAACGAACGCGTTTCCCCGGAGATGAACAACAGAAGGTCGTTGAGTACCAATGGATGAGATAAAACATGTTACCGCCGTAATCTATAGAGATCGTTCCCGAAGCAATGGATTGCTGAACAAGTGAGATCGAACCTTGGCGAATGGTGCCTCGTATCTGGTCGACAGAACACCTACATAAATCGAGAGCGACAGAACTACACGACGACAGTTGAGATCTAGCCTTCATAGACGACAGTTGAGATCTAGCCTTCCTACAAGACAGTTGTAACCTAGTCGAGACGTCGCAGAAGCCATGTGATACCACAAGCAATAATACTTGTATGGTGTATAAGTGCGAGTGTCCAATGAAGATTCACTGAATCCGAGACCCACGTGGATTTATTTGTCGCGTGACATACCCAACACGTGACAATATTTTTCCAATTTTTTTTTAAGTTTGTACATTAAACTTACCTAAGTGTTAATAATTAATAATGGCATAATCATAAAGAGTATTAGTATATTTATGTATATGGTGTGATATGTTGACAAATATAAAATTACTTTTAAATTAGTTATCAGTCACTGGACTAATGAAATCTTGTAGCATATTTTAGTTTCTTCAGGCCAATATCACTAAATTAATTTATACTAACTTTCATTGACATATCCCATTCTGCTCACCAAAAAAGTGTAAAATTGATTTTTGTATTATTAAATCAACTGTAATGATGCTGGTTTAAAAAAAAACGGTAGTGAGAAAAATATTTATACATTGTGTCTCACAATAGAAGTCAGCTGAGTAGGGGAAGCAGCAGAAGGATATCAACTAGTCGGCAAAACACTTATTATCCCAACACACGCCAAATATTTATATATGCAAAGTATGTAATGTAATAAAAAAGTATGCATCTCTCAATTCTAAACACTCATTCCAATAGTAATTAATATCTTGAATTTAAAAACGCAGCATTTTAACACAGCAATTATAAATTACTGAAAAAGTCAAACTTAGTTTCTTTCATTACAACTGAGTTTTTTAGTGCAACTGTTATGTTTTTGGACATTATCCATTGTCCTCTATCTAAAAACACCGTCCTGTTTATTTTTCAAAACACAGCGTTTCAGAGACTGGATTCTGTCTCCGTCTGCAGGTAAAACCTTCTCAGTTGGGCCCAATCGATAGAGCTAGTCCCTATCTCTGGACACCTATGCCAGCTCCAAATGGTTTATACAAACCAAACACAGCGAGAGCTAAGGAAACATTCAGTTATTAAAACTCCGCACATACGAGGCCTTGCACCAGAGAAGAATCTCTATAGAAATCATCACTGGAGATGAACAATACTCCTTATGGTACCAACACACACACAAAAGAAAAACAAATTTTCCCACTCCAGCTACACTTGACGGCACTGTAGTCTCTTGACTTCTGCTGTGATGACAGGGGTCCATATGGGAGCGATATCCACACTGGGTTGACTGATCAGTTGGTCCAGCAGAGACATGTGGGCTGATTCCTTGTATTTCCTGTGTGTGGTGTTGGGTTCAGTCTGCAAGACCTTCGCTTCATTCCAACAAATTTTGTGGTCTTCCTTGTATGCATGTTGGGCTAATTTTGATTTTTCCAGCAGACCCTGTGTCAGGTTATATTTGTGCTCTTTAATGCATACTTCTAAAGTTCTGCTTGTTTCTCTGATGTAACATCTGCCAGTTGCATGGGATGCTGTAAACACCCTGCTTCGTCTGCTGGGCATCTCTAACCAGTCCAGTTTTCATCAGTGTCCCACGGACTGTATATTTAGTCTTGAAGATGGTTCTCTGAGATTGAAAGAGTTCCTGATGTGTCTGAAGTTCTCAGAAACGCCCTTAACATATGGAATGACGATAGTACTCTGGTATACTGTGTCTGAAGAGGGACAAGTTCTTGCCGATGGCTTCATTACAGAGTGAATGAATTCTTTATATATTCATTGAGCATCAGATTATGTCTTATGTTTTTAAGTTCGTTGTTAAAATCGTTCTTATTTTGACATTGACCTTCACTTGGTTGACCAAAATATGAAGGTTTTAGTTAGGCTAGTGAGATTTTGTTTCTGTTTTCTGTCCATTAGTTTATTAACTCTGGGATGAATTGAAGTGATAGCCAAGCGGAGACAGGACGTTTCAGACAGTTCCTCTGTTTCATTTTAAGCACAGTCATTGCAGAAAATACAGTTTCACAAAGATATGTGATGTAAAAACAAAGAGGAAATCTCATTGATATTTCATGTAAATTTGTATGTTCAATTTTCATTCTTATCCAGAATTGTTAATTACTCAGAATTAAAAGTACTTTCCAGTCCTTTCTCCGATGATAATTCAATAAGTTGAAGGGTTTCTTCAGCAAAAGGGTTTACAATCCACATATTTTGCCTCCGGGGATCCTCATGTTTGGGATAATACTTTTCAAATGACAACATCTTCAAATTGGCTGCAATAATATCTGAAACTGAATTCTGTGGATAGAAATCATTTGCTTCCATAATAAAATCGTAGTGCAACTGAAATTGTTTCCTTCTGCAGTCATATTAAGCCAGAGTTTGAGTTCCTTTTTGAATGATCCAGTCTTGTTGCATGCACTAAATATCGTATCTGCACCTTGAAGCTTTAAATTCAAGTCGTTTATGTAAGAAAATATGTTGCTGAGACACACCAGGTTGACTACCCATTTCTTATCTTTGAAATAATAGGACAGGTCACTTTTTTTCCTTTCAGAGTTCATATAATCTCTTGAGAGCTTTACCACGAGACAGGCAACGAACTTCTGAATGGAAAAGGGGATGATCAGAGCCCATTTCATCACGCAGAGCTTTCAGCAGTCTTGTATTTAAAGCACTGTTTTTTATCATATATAATTTCAATGCAATTTTTCCATTCAAGACCTCTTTCTTCAATGAAACCATTCAACACTTTTAGTTCAGCAACTGCCTCAGTCTTTTGTGTCTTTGGTCTTAGACTAAGTCTTGTGAAAGCATATATTATGGAATGAAGGCAGAAATACAGTTTGTTATGCACTTTGTGTAAATTATAATTTTGTTATTGCAGAAACTTATTATGGCATGAGATAATGAACTGTAAGCTAAAGTTGTCCCTGTGATAAGCTAATTAAGTACTTGATCTTGGCTCTAGTCGGAGGTGAGTGGTCAGCTTCATGACCTGGCCGCTTAACCCCCAGGGACCCCCCTCCCCCAGTACTCAATTGAAAGGAGTTTGGGTGGGCCTCAGAGCTAGTCTGGACGACATGGAGAAGTCACCCGGACTTGAACTCTGACCCCGCGTTTGTCTAGCCCGTAGCCAGTCGTTATACTGATTACGATATTCCAGCTCCTTAGAAGTTGATGCACATTTTAAGATTCCATTAACTGCTGGAACTTAGAGGATACGCTAGGCAAGGCTCGAATTAATTGACATACTAGCAGAGAATCTGCACATAACCTGGGCTGCTACTGAAACATTTACTGTGTGGAAGTTACATGTATGTATGTGTGTTGGTCTCATATATGACGTCTGCAATTTTGGCATGAACTTCCCAATTTTTATGTTATTTTGTTCTTTGTTTTCATCAGTATGCAATCATAAGTTAAATGTACAATACCTTACTAATATTCTTGAAGAATAAAGACATTTGTGTTCAATAATGTCTGTCCTCTGTGAACAGGATCAGCTGCAGCAAAAAGATAGCTTACTTTCCATGTGCCAAGAGCAATGTATACAGTTAAATGAAGAGGCAACGAAGTGGAAAGAGCAAGTAGATATCAGCAAGAAAATGTTTCGGGTAAGTGGTTACTTATTTTATACCTCATAATAATGGGAAATGGCAGTCAAAACAAAAATCAGCCTTGGTCTTTATTGTACTTTATTTTATTATATTAATTTTTCATTTATGGATGCTTTCAACTGCTCAGGTTATGTAGTGCCGGATGATAGAATAATTACTTAACAGTACATTGGGCAGGATGTCATAGAATTTGCCTTGAGGGTCAAGGAAAACCATTACTGTTTTTGAAATAGTATTTCATGATGATTTTTGGTTATTTTTAAGTACTTATCAGGTGGCCAAGATTTTCATGTCATATTGGATGTAATTGTAAGTACTGACTTACATGTCAACCTATATTTGAGATTCTAAGAGCATCTGATGCAAGTTGTTAAGTGTTGTATACTCACTGAAATTATTGTTACACCATTTTCACATCATTGATTTATCTGGCTCAGGATAGAGACTATTAGTGGGCTTTTTTGAATACAGTATTGAATATGTGTGTTCCTTAAAGGGTGGAGAATTTATTGACAGGTTGAGTGACTATTAATGTCTAGTGAAAGCCCCTGTTCCATTTAGTTAGAATGGTGAGCTTGGTGTCTGCAGTTACATATACACTGGTATTTTGCTTCTGTGGGCAGAATTACAGTTAATTCATTTTGGCCCATTTTTGAGCAGTTGTGTATATATAGCTAATCCATGCCAGATATCAACATGCGCGAAATGAGTACTTATGTAACTTGAACAAATTTTGGACAAGTTGACGTTAACCCACTATGCCATGAGGCTTGAAATTTAGTTTTAACGTGAGTAGATTAAATTTATGTAGGCTGGTGTCTTCATTCAGAAATATTTTGGTTTGGATAAAAGTGTTATTTTTGTTCTTCCTTGTAGCTAATTTAGGAATAACATCTGTATTACTCAGTTAGGAAACAGACATATAACCTCAGAATTATACATGAATGTAAGATTAGCAGTGAATTTAATCACAGTGCAAGAGATGTTGGGAAAGAAAGTTATGAGTAACATTTTCATAATAGAAACATGGCAAGGAAACTAATGGAGCAGCACAGTCTCAGGGCTTACCTTACATGTGACTGAAAAAGAGTTAGAAGTAACACTGTGCACATCAGAGAATTTTTTTGGAACTTAATCATGCTGCTTCTATTTATAGGACAAAACCCAGAAGCTAGCTGGACAGGTGACATATGTGAAAAACAAATATAATGACCTAGATCGACGCAGGAAGTTGGAAGCAGAAGGTTTCGTCAATGACACAAGAATCTTAAGAGGACGTCTACGAGATATAGAGAAAAACGTTAGAAAATTCTTCCTTAAACAAGCGCCATCTCAAACAGCTGATCCTACCAATGAAGACCTTTTCTTAACAGCTCGACAAACTAGGGCCCAGTCACAGCAACTTGAACGAGAATTAAGGGACATTAAGAAAAGAATTGAAGCAATTGAAATTGATATTGGAGATGGTGAAGTATAGCAGAGCTGTACAGCTTCTGTTCAGTAACTATAGCAAAACTGGCCCTCAGCCTGCATGTCTGAATTTGTGGTGTGTGAGAAGAAATTACAATACAGCAGAATCTGAAGAATAGAAAAATGAATTGTCTTGTTTGGCTGTTTGCATGAATTCTTGAATTTTTTAAGCTGGAAAATAATGGTATTACTTCTGTGTTCTTTATATGTTAAGTAGAGAGAAAACTATTTCATTCTTATGCTTACATATTGGAGTCTTTGGTTTTAAATATACTGAATTCTATAATGGGATGATAATGTAAAAAATTAGAAATATACAGGCACCCATAACAAAACAAATGGAACCCCAAGATATATTGCAGTTTCTTTCAGTGTAAACACTATGACAGGGACAGCATACCAGTCTTTAAGTGAATCTTGAGATATGAAGAATTCCCCTAGTTTAGAGCAGTAATTGATGATCAAACACAGTAATTCAGAGCTACTGATATGCCACTTTAATCCATCATGTTAAATTGGACAGGATGGATTACAGTTAAGAAAAAGAGATGCATACAATGTCCTAGTCTTTAACATTCTAGTTCAGTCAGACCTTTCAGGAAGGAAAAGTGATGATTCCTGCTTTGGTCACCCTACTTTATTATGTGCACCCAAACATATTGTCACATGTTTTGTGTATAACGCGACGAGTAACTTCACGCCGTATTTGATATATCGAACTTTATTTCACATTCGCACTTACAATCACCCAAATTACAGATTCACAATTACTGTTATCTGCAGTATCACAAATACGACACTCCAAATGCCAGAATGCAACTGACTGGTTGCTGGCTAACTCAGAACTCTCTTGGAACTAACTTGTAGGTAGCTGACTGGAGAACTGTTGATAACACACTCGCTCAACTACTACTGAACTCGGCGATAGCCACATTTCAACTCAACTCACAGGCTTGCTCGGAACTAACTGTGAATAGCCTTCGCTGCTCCTTATGTAGCCTCGTTCCGGACCATTGTCTTCGGGTGCCGTGTTGCTAGCAACGCTGTACGGAGTTGTTGACTGCTGCCTAGCAACCGCGATATCCCTTGGTGACATCGCCGCTGTTGACTCGCGTTGCATAGCTACCAGGTTGCGGGGACTCGGCTAACTTCGGCTCACTTCAGCTCCGCTCGTCACGTCACCGCGGGGAGAGTGGCGGGGTGATGACTCGCCTATTATGAGAGAGCTACGTTACCGCCACATGCCGCTGGGGAGGTAGGGGTCCTCCGTTGCGCAACATGTCACAATATCTTATTTTCACTGACAAGAGTATTTTAGACATTTGGATCAAGTTTTGCACTTCCATTTAAGAGGTATGCTGTAATTCTTAGATTTATATGAATCTTTTCTTATTACACTTAAAGGAGTTGTATGCAGTTCTGTGAATAGTTTATTACATATACATGTTTTCTTATTAAAACTTAGTGCATAAATTTTTGTGATATATTTTTATGAATGCCTCATTGTTTAGACATAATGAAATAACGAATAAAGCAGTAATGTGATAAAAATTAAAGTTTCATCTGTCATTAAATATACAGTCCTACCTCGAGTTACGGCTCTTTGGACTTACAGACATTTGAAATGCCATTCCCAAAGTTGCAGCACTTGCTTCAGAGTTACGGCTCTTTGGACTTATGGACATTTGAAATGCCACCATTCCCCAAAGTTGCAGCACTTGCTTCGGAGTTATGGCTCTGGAGCGACATGACAGTACCGCCCAATTGGCTTCCAACTACTGGTGTTCCTGTCTGTTTGTTTGTTTACAAACATGGTTTGCTTTGCATCTTTTTGTGTTACTGTTTACACCATGTGATTAAGTGAATATTAAACTGTTTATAACTTATTGTTTATATTATGATTAAAATATGAAACAGCTTAATAATGACTGAAAAATATCAGATTCTATGAAAACTTATTCAGAGAAATATACACCAGTAAGATGCAAGGGAAATTCATTTTTCTAAGTCTGAAGACATGTTCCCACATGACTAAAATCTGTTTTAGGCACATCTTTTGATGATATATCGACCTCATACTCGGATATAATGGGAATGTAATTTTTAAGTCACGTATACAGTCTGAACATTCTCCTTATAAGTGAAAAGGCTAGGCAAAATTAAGAGTATTTTGAGTCATTTAAAAAATATATTTTACATGATTTTAATGTCTTATACAACTTGACTGAAACTGATGCAATTGGTAAATGATTTAATTTTTTTATATATACTGACCATTAAAAATACCTTTTCATTCAATGCATCATACTACGCTTTGAAACATGTTACTTTTATGACCACCTAATACTATCTAAAAGTTTGTGATGGTGGTATATTAATACAATTATTGTGTAAGTACTCTCAAGTGACGCAGCAGGTATGGCAAAGGTTACACAGAATATCACAATTGTGAATGTTACACAAAAATTTTGGAAGTATATACAGGGTGTCCCAGGAGGAATGTGCCAAACTTCGGGAGGGTGTTCCTTATGTTAAAGTATGCCGATATAACCCAAAACACCTATGTCCAAAGTTGAACGGTTACGGAGATAATGGCCAGAGAAGTGTCAAACTTTGACCGGGGTTACACACTTGTTGATTACAAAATAGATATTAAAACTGGCAGGAATATGTGGATTCTGTAACGTTAATAATGTACGTAACATCAAACTAACTTGTGAGTGACATGAAGCCATAAAATTGAAGTACAAAAAACTCGCATGCCATCTCAAAGTTGTCGTTAAGAGTTCCAAGCACTGTACATGACACATGAATGGTAAGCGATGACGTAACGTGCTGACTGCGCGTTCTGATAAAGCCAACTCCATAAGCACGGATAGGATGAATCACGGCAGTCAAGGACAAACAGAGATAATTCCTCTCAGCTGATAGGTATAATCCGTGGACCCGCTAGAAGACCACACTTTTCTCGGGCCATTATCTCCGTAACCGTTCAACTTTGGACATAGGTGTTTTGGGTTATATCGGCATACTTTAACATAAGGAACACCCTCCCGAAGTTTGGCACATTCCTCCTGGGACACCCTGTATAGCAAAAGCAGTCCAGATATTTGTGACATATACACTAATGGAAAAATATGCTTTTCCAATATTTAAAGTATTCACAGCAGTGAATATTAAGATTACAGTCATGTGGGATGTTATGCCACAGATAACTCCCAAATTACATAATGTCATATCCCTGAAGACTATACTCTTAGTAGTCTTCCAAAACCAGTACAAGGACAACTTACATTTTGAAAGAGAAATTTTATGGTTAAGATTATCGAAAACCAATCATATAAGTAGGTAATTTCATAAGGCTGAACTAAAATAAACTTGGGTTACATATAAGTGTAGAAACATCACACAACACATACATTCACATTTATTTATGACCATGTAATGTCATAACCCAAACACTATTATCAAGGAAAGGAATCAGATCAAACAGATGTCAGGACAGTTACAATGGAAACTCTGTGTTTTGTCAAAGGCCAATGTCTTTTAAGAAATAATGACATACATAACATTTAAAGGATTTATTGGCATATATTTCAAATTAAATTCCTATGTTACTTATAATGCAGAATAACATTAAAGAAGTTGAAATACATAGTACAGGATATAGAGTTTCAAGATCTGATTTACTTACATCAAAATAATTCATAAAGCCAACACCAATTACTCCACAACATGAGCAGTGAAGGGGAACAAGTGATAGTGCAAAGAATTGGTTTCTATATGAAGCATGTTTCAAAAGTGGACAAGAGAGACAGATGCATCACCTTACTGAGTATAACCATATGTTAAATAATTTCATTCATATGACTCATAAATGAAAGTGAAACATTTACCAACATCATTTAATTTTATTAGGTGCCCTTGTTCAATAAATTAATGCACAGTCTCTGCACAATGCTATGCAGTGTTAGGAACTCGATGGCACTACCTAAAAAGAAAGGTATCTGGAATGCATTCTTGGTGCACCTTTTGGAGACTGAACGTGCATTCCCACATCATACTTTCAAGGTCCTGGATTAAAATTTTTGCCTAGAGGCCAGCTATCCTGTCAGGTTTGTGATGATTTATCTTAGTCTTGCTGACAGAGAAATACTGCCTAATGTCATAAAGTAGGCCACTGCCAATCCCTTCTGAATCATTTAGAAGCCATCATCCCATTCAGTGTTAGACATCTAGGCATTTGTAAAAGTGTTTTTCAGTAAGTCAAGAATCAATCAAACTTTAGGTCATCTTTTTAAGTAGCAGCAGATTAAGATTTAAAATCATCATTAATGTGAATCCATGCTTCTTTACAATAGTAACACAAGTAACACGACATCTATCCAATTGTAGCATCTAATTAGAATCAAGATTACTAATACACTACTACTCTTCCCAGGAAGCTAGCCGCTGCCACTATCTGCAGCCATTTACTTGGTAAAGTGACTTTCAAGAGCAGCTCTAGCAGCTGTTTGAAGCCATACACTGATTCCCTCTTTACAGGTAGTCGAAACTGATGGAAAATGGCAGACATATGACTAATGGTGAAGGATGTTAAAACAATTTATATGCAGGCAAATGAAACTGACAAACATAATACATTTTAACTGCTGAAAAGTTGAAGTATATATGTGTGGAAGACATAACTCTAGTATGTCCAATAGATGTAAAACTCCAGAAAATATATAAATTATGAGTGAAGATTGAACTTCTACATCTGCTTTTGAGAAAAATCTCTTTCCCCTAAGCCCCCTCTCTCTCCTGTTGGCCATGACTTTACACCTGCACTGCTGCTGAAATCAACAAAACTACGTGACTGACAAGGAAGATGGTGTATTAACATGTCAAACAAAATTAATCACAGTAATAATAATAATTTTACAGTGCAGAGTAAAAACATTATCACCCGATCAAAGCTGAGTATAAGCTGGCAACTCAGGTTACCCTAGCAATGCCAATCACTTCCTTGCTGGAGAAGAGAGGGAGAGTTTGCCTGAACTGTGAACATGAACACTGCACTCTTGACACCTGCTGATGGTTTTGGACCCATTGGTCATACAGCAGCAAGTGGTGCTCAAGTTTGGCAGTTGTTACAATAATTCTTAATAAAAACAAACACACACACAACAGAGATTTATACACAGTACAAAGTTTGTATCTTATGTGAATGTTCTGCAGAAGAAACAGTGTCACTTTCTCAGACTTAGACCAAGAACCTTTTCTCCAAATATTAATATTCATCATCTAATAATATCACTAGCATAAAACTCCCTTGTTTACCTAATATGTATCTGTAATAAACTTCATTCTGTCATCTCTCATTTATGATTCATGAGAAAAAGTATAAAACTGACCATGTTCTCACATGGAAAATAATACTGATACAGGGAGTACATCAACTAACATAAATCCCATTTGAAAGGAAGGTGGTGATGGTGTGGACGGAGGGAGATTAAAAACAACCTAAAAACATGGAGGATAATATTGGTACACTTGCTGTAGACACCACAGGGGGCATAACAGAATATTTCTTGGATAATGGAATACCAAAAGTTGTGGAGTGCACAGCTGAGAACTTAAGGTATAATAATACAGACAAAACAGGGATACCCCTTAAAGTGTTTTATTCAGCAGTTTGGTCAGATGGTGTCTTATATCAGATGTACCATTTTCACTAATTCAATACCTTCAATGGACTCATCAGATATCATAGAACAGAAACCAATACAATACAGTACTAGCAGGGAACAATGTGGATTATGCCAAAATATTATCTGCTAAAAGAAGACATGTTAATCTTGTGTCAACCTTCCCTCAGTGAGTGAACCTGGATATTATTCATTCCATGCCTTGGTGAACAGAAAAAGGAAGGCAGATCAAAAGGGAGAGAAAGTTTCATGCTTCTTCAGATCAATAATCAGCTCAACTAACTTAGTCCTACGATGACATAATGATTGTAACAAACAATAACACAAATGTACATCAAATCACAAACAAATACTGAAGAGGCAGTGAAATGCTGCTACTACCACCCAAAATAATAAAAATAAAAATTTATTTATTTACATTCTAACTTAACAGCCCAAAGGCCAATTACAAAGTGAGCATGAGTAAAGAAAAACAAAGCATCTGATATAACTTGAATGATGATAATATATATAACTCCAATAAACACAGTATCAAAGTCAATGAGCATAGTCAGCAAGAAGCATCACCAGCAACCCCACAAAAACAAAATAAACTCTATGGCCTGTAGTCTGCAAGCGAACTATACTGACCAAGCAACCACCGCTTGTTGGCAAAGTTAGTGCCAACTTTTGCAGATAGAGCATGTCATGTGGTCAGCACAACACATCCTCCACAGCCGTTAATCTTGGTTTTCTAGACCGGAGCCGCTACTTTTCCATTCAAGTAGCTCTTCAATTATCCTCACGAGGCTGAGTGGACCCAGTTCCAGACCCACTACTTCTCAGAAAATCTGGTAGCACCAGGAATCGTACCCAGGACCTCTGGATCTGTAGCCAGGAACTCTGACCACTAGACCACAGACGCAGCAACCCCACATAAGCTGCTTATTAGGTATTAATGCCACCAATGCCATCTTCATGAAGCTCAATTAGCTGCAGCACATGAAAATCTGAACTATTTTTTGCATCTTTTGACATAGCCTCACGCCAGCTATTCCTAAGCCCTGGGCCATTTATGGTGTAAGCAACATTCAGAGGTGCTCACATTGGTCTTGGAGCTAGGTGACAAGTACATGAAAAGCCATTGGAAAGGGCAGGGAGGTGCAGTACAGGCAGAAAAGCAATAGAACCATCTACTGGCAAGTATCTGGAAGACTTCTGAACACAAAATAAGGTAAGGCAACTTGTCCGCACAAGACTGTCACTACCAGGTGAAAATGAACCACAACGTGACAGAACAAAGTGTCCCATACTGCCATAGCCGAACGCAAAGATCTGCACCAGTAGGCAACAAAGTTGTGGGTAAAAGTTCCTATTTCACAGGGGTCACCATACTTACTGCAGCCATACATAATTTTCAAACATTCAGGAGTGGCAAACAGGCATAGAATGGCTGGTATGACTTCACAGAGATGTTGCATTTGGTGTATGGTCCTCTAACCATTGAACAAATGCGGTGTTTACATATGTGGCACCTAAAGCCTATGGGTGTTATGCCCTATCCATGCTGTTGAGGAAGATCCTATCAGCAGCACTTCTTTTTATTTTTATAAACGTTTATACAGTGTAAGTGCATTTCCTACACGATTTGTTCTTTCACATGAAAGCAAACTGGGATATCTCCCTTAAGAGTCACGCTTCTACCCTCGGAATTTGCTTCTGTTGGTGCACCTGTAGTGGATCCAGAAAGCCTCAATCTCCAAATGAGATACTCTTGCATATCATGGTACATAACTATGATAAAATTTCCTACTCACACGTAATTCCAGTTTTCATCAGGGTTTAAATAGAAACTGAAGTATTCCGACAGGCAAGACTGTCCTTAACCAGGATCTGATTTCCTATGTATTTGTTTATTATGAGAGCAAGCCATATTTTACTATAAAAACGTAACAGGCAGTACCTGGAGCCTATGTTGACTGCTACAATCCACACAGGGGCATGTAGGAAAAGTTCCATGCACTCTTGATGGGAGGTGCACAGTGACCACCACACTTGGACAGAAATCACTCTGTACCTTTCATATAAGAGGCAAGAGACAGTTCCACAGTTGTTCCTGATGCAATTAAAAAATCTCAACACCCCAGCCAGGAAATGAACCTGTCATCCAGTCACTTACTGACAGAACTATTACAATTCATTCCATATGGGGCTAACATGAATTAGAATATAATTACAGCAGTAACATTATTACAATTGAGAATGCCATTCTACACACTGCATAGTATCAGAGCATATGTCTTAACAGCAGTCATATACACAGTCCCAAAGCTTGTCTGTCCGTTTCGTCTCACCCTGTTTCACTAAAACAGCTCATCACAGAAAAACACTGGTAACAACAAATGCTGTTCCTCTTGCAGAGATAACCCTGAGAAAATTGCTATTTTATAGCTATGTGAATGGATCTAAAAAAATTTTTTTTAATTCACTTAGTGGGGGGTGGAGTCCAACTGTGTCCACTGATTGGCCTATTGTAGCCTGCCCTGGGTGATTATGATGAAGAATTTGGTGGAATGAAGATTGGCAGGGCAACCGAACTACTCAGAGAAAACCTGCCCCAGTGCCACTTTGTCCACCACAAATCCCACTTGACCAGACCCAGGATTGAACCCAGGCCGCAGCAGTGGGAAGCCAGCGATTAACCACATGAGCTATGGGGTGGCCTATGTGAATGGGTCTAAGTCAAAGAAAACTTATTTCCCTATGGCTTTCTCCATTAAAATAGCACTGGGATCAGGATGACATGGAGTACACAAACTTTGCATGCTTTATAGTAACCATGGTAATGAAACAATATCAGTGTGACAACAAAGAGCATGTAAACTTAATGTTTTATTACAATGGTAACGAGATGTGCTCACACCAGATTATGCCATGATGTATAACAAAAGTTCCTGAAACTGCAGTGCAGATTCTTCTGCATGGGAAAACTGCAGAATTCATCGCCATTAAGTGCTAACAGATATTTCACTTACAATCGGGCTACAACAGAAAGCTGGTGTTTTGATATCTTTTTGTTATTCAAATTCAAAATCATGCTTTTGCAGTTTATGATGTATCTTTAATATTATTCCGGTTTTTATACATGATGAATATACTTTTTTACTTTATAAATAGATTCTGAGCAAGGAACATTACGCTCATGGAAAGAGAAGTCTTACATTTTTGTATTTGTTGGATTTTAGATTGTCATGGCAGTGCCTACGAAGAGCATTGTATTGTGGGTGGTAAGGCCACACAGTTCTGAGGAAGTCCAATGCTTCTCAGCTTGCCATCTGCTTCTGGTTTCTTGCTAGGCTTACTCTTCAACCCTGAAGAAGGCCATGTTTCCACAAACTGTTGGGTTCTCCATGATGTTACAATCCAACAAAGAAGAGCACACTCTTCATTTATACATATATATATTGTTTATTTAATGATGCTGTCAGTATCTTAGATTATACAGCACTGAATTATAGAATTAGGTAATTGCAAAGGATTTGAAAGGAAACAATCAGGCCTAATGCAAAGTATTATGCAAGCTTACGAAATCCTCAGTCAGGACAGTTTCCAGGACAAAATTTGGGCCTCAGACATCCCAAACGTTACCCACTCAACTGTGACAATTTGTACATTTTTATAGCTTTCAGTTCTTATAATCAAGAGCTTGTATACAAAAATGTGTCACCTCCCACTTACATCAATACAAATGCTTTTAGAATTACAGTATGCTTAATGAAAATATTTTATACATACTGTCTTAAAAGTTGGTATATTCAAAGGTCAATTTAGGGAGACAGTAGTGAAGTTTAAATTTATGATGTTACTACCGAAATGAGTTGAAGTGATACATACACAGAAGTGATATGGGTTCAAAAGAATTTTTAAAGTTATTAAGGTGTAAGACAATAACGGGTGTCAGACTAGTGTAACAGAACTATATGAAGGACAGGACTAAGGGTAATGACAACAATGTATTGGCATTAGTGTGTCCTGAATGTAATATAATTAAGTCTATTCAATGACTAGGACGACCATGAGTATTACTGCCATGCCAGATATGTATATACATGTGAACACACAAGTTTTCTGTTGTGTTTGTGTCCAACAGCTGAAATAAGAAAAAGTAATCTTCATTAAGATTTATCAGATGGAATTTGTGCTGCTTCTGCATATAAAAGTTCTAATTCTGGGACAATGTTATCTCAGGGTATATTCACCTCACTATGGGTATCAACTGCTAACAGAGCTCAAAAGAAAATCTGATGTCACATACTGCAATAAACATTAAGGTATAATAAATGGCAGAAGAAAAATTACATCATGACAGTTCGTTTTGACAGCACTGATCAGGGGCACATGCACTTACACTTTCAGAATTCAGCAGCATAAACAGTGAGTGGCAAGCCATATAACCACAATGTACTGCAGTGAATCTAACAGAGAGCTTTTAAATCCTGGAGATAGCAGTACTACAACCAACTATAATATTAATTTGTCCTCCAAACTTGCAAATTCACATCACGACATTTATTCCATAAAAAATTATAAGTTTATACCCTACAAAACAACCCAAAAGACCACAATATGAATCTTCACTACCATGAAAACTCGAAAATTTCAACTAGAGTTTTTCTTTATGCACACATACTTCATCCAGATTTCTACACTAAACTCACAACATTTGAAATATTACCTTATTTTCTCGAATACCCCTCGAGCATTTAAAAAAGTTGTGCCAAAAAAGAAGTGTGCACAGCTTACTGGCATAAAGTTAACAGTGCTACTCATTTGTCATATTGAGCACTCTCATACATCCCAGGTGAGCAGCTCACTCCTCTGTTAGCTATCATCCTCGCACACATCACATATCAATTCTGATTTAGAGTGAAGAAAAATGAGTACAAAGGGTAAGCAATTATGATCTTTCAAAGTGAGTGAAAAAATAGAAATAAAAGATGCATGGGATTGTATTTTGTTCAGCATAGTGATGACAACTGCATGAGCTCTGCTGCTGCTGCTGATTATGATGATGAAAGTAATGGAGAATAAAATACTGTAGGTACATAACTTTGTTTCTAATTAGCAAGTTCTATGTGAAAAAGTCACTAAAGAATAAAGATGAAATACCACAACGAACGCTAATACTGAATCATTTTCATGTTGCAGGAACCAGGTCTCCTGAACTGCAAATGTAGTGGCACTGTTTATCATTTAACATCTTTGTTAATGCTTGATGTTTTGTTAATGTTTAATACTTTAATTTTTTTAAATTTTTGTTGTCTTAAAAATTCAGGTCTGTGGCCTTTTCAAGAAAATAAGGCATTAGATTCTGCCCATTTTCACAACCATGTACAACTGTTGTAAATAAAATAGATGTGTGTTGCATCTGTTTCATCAACAGCAATATCTGCACAACTGTGAATGTGGCTTTATAACTGTATTAATCTGCACCTGTAACTCTGAAGAGATTTCCACACCTGTCTGAAATGAAGAAACATCCTTTTATACTTGAAATCAATAATATTATTAAACATCAACTAATACCATTCAACTGAATGCATTGCACTATTGAAAGCAACATGTTACCAAATCTTTTCCATTTTAGCCCTTAACATATCATAAATGTGCAAATAATATTGTACAGTGCTTTCATTGTTAATATGTGAGCTCATGGCACAGGAAGACAACAATATTCAGACTTCAAATGCAACTATACAACTTCCCTGTATCTGGACTGCTGTTGCAGATGCCACAATTTGGTCATTACTTGTTCATGAAATTACATTCATGCAGGAATATATATTAGAGTGCTAATTTCAGTATTATTAGTTACATACTTCAGTCAGTCCACCAAATCATTAGTCCCCAACTTGATTTAATGGAATGATAATATGGAATCCTAACACACACACACACACATACATATCAAAATGTCTGCACTGAAACTGGTATCAGATGTACACTCCAGCCCAGCACAATGAGAAGAGAGAGAGAAGACAATATTGTTACTGTATACTGCATTCCAAACTCTTCTATCATTATTCAGTTAAGTTATTTACACGGATCCACAAAATATAAGTATCATCACATCTATCACTCCAAAATATGTTTTCATCCCCAAATTACTGTTTATGAACATTTTCAGCATCAAATTAAATTGTACACAAGTACAACATTCACAAAATTGGGTAACCTAATGCTAAAACACATGTCTAACATTATGAGACCTGTCTACATCACTACATCTATGACTACTGGCGATTAAAAAAACACTCCATACGCTGCATACGATGCTTTCTTCAACAAGCCTTATAGCTGTTCCATTTATTAGCGCTATAAATTGTGTTTAAATTTTTGGGTGTTTTGTCACTTTCAGTTTTTGAATGTAGTTAATATCTGATAAGTCTTTAACAACAGAGATATGAAAGATGCTTATTGCAACAATTCAAATGTTTATAGGAACTGCTGCCCTAGAAATTTGTCTCAAGCACTATTTTTCTGCAGAAATTAAATCAGTACACAGCATTCATGTTCATATTTAACAACAAACCTCATAACATTATCTACAGAACACAATATTTGGAGAAGACAATTCAGAAACAGCACACTGTTTCAAGCCAAAATGAAAATATAAAAATGTTATACCAACACATTTCAAATTTTGGTTAAAGTGATAATAAAATGACTTAATCCAGTCTGGTTCTATTACTTGGTACATTTCTTGGAAGATTCCCCAGCACGAGAAGAGATGTATTTTTTTAATATCCATCAAATTAAGTACTTAAGACTAAAGTTAAGTAATACAGAAACAGTAATTTTAATAACACCATCTAATTTCTACACTTCCATTATTTGCTACTGCAATGAGGAAAGAGGAAAAAAGTACCAATATCTGGATATTTTTTCTGCCTTCTTCTTCTTCCTGTCAAATTTGAATACAACTGAGAAATTAAGGGCCCTGAAATGTGGGTGATACATGAAACATTACACAACTCAGTGCGCTTCAAACAGTGAACATACTTGTGTATTCAGGGATGGTTCTCAACTGAAGGTGACATTTGCCAGTTTATTGGGTGTTGCTTGTTTTACTTAGCTTGTTGCAACTGATAGGACAAATCTGCAGTATCGCACATGTTGAAAATAACAACAGAATAAGAGATCAGAGAACAAAATGTGTTCAGTTCTTAAATACAAACAGCAATCCTTCCAAACAACTAGGTTTGTGTCATAAGTACAGCTATTTGAAATGTTATAGCAATGCCTCTGATAGTGAGACCATCACAATGATCTCATATAACAGTATTTTAATTCAGAATACTCTGGAGCAATGCAAATATACAGATGCTTTTAGTTCCTTCTCTTGAATGGCAGCAGTAAATTGTTTCATCAGCTCAGTAGGCTTGAGAAATGTTCTTGCAAGAACAGCTAGTCAGCAATTAAATAAATATTACTCAACAGCACTTTTAATACTCAAAACTGTAAGAGTAACAATAATATCAGCAGGAAAAAGCTGCCTCAAAATGAAACACTAATGGCATTGGATGAATTATGTATATAAAATATTTTTATGATGCATGTTTTATGTTATAATTTTCTCTTGATGAGATAACTATTACTTTATATATTTACACTCAATATATGAAAGTAACATGATACATCAGGTAGGAATTATGACAAATGAGAGAACAGAACCACACCACTCATCCACAAGAAAAGTGACAGAAATAAAAAAATGGCTATTTTTGCATATTACAAAGTACAGCAGAAGAGTAACATTTTTTTCTGGAAAAGTATCACAAGCAAAATTTCAATGACAGCCAGCAGAGAGCAGTAATGTTGTTTTTCTCTCAGGACAGAGTAGCAGCATAAGAATCATGAAAGCCACATCTCAGTTGCATTTTGTGTTAACTGAAGGTCACACCTGTCTCAAGAAAAATTACTTAAGTAGATTTAAAACCGTTTGTGTTTAATAAGTGCGAACAAGAATACAACAGCCTTCAAGAATGGCATGTTTTGAATTGCAACAGTTTTGTCAATTATATAAGTAAGTTTTAAACTATATATTGTCTGACACATTTTAAGATTAAACACTTTTCTTCATTTAATAAACACAAACTGCTGAGTTGCAACTTTTTAATTTCAAGTTATCTCATTTTCCCCCATAAAATATAATTCTCTCAATTCCTGTGTGTGTGTGTACTATTTTCTTGCAAATTTTAGATCCGTGCCAGTCATTCTTTCAATGTTGTCAGACTGAACTAAGTTAATCTTAAAGTGACAATAAGAACAAACCAGGAGTCAGAAGGAGCACAAATGACAATTAATGGTACCAAGAAACCTATAAGAACAGACCCATTATCAGCTCCTCAGAACAAAAACGTAATTCAGAAATAGAACCCAACATCAACTCACGGGAAGAATGTATTAATCTCGCCAATGAATCAGTTAAAAGTACATCCGGGCAAGAACACTTGGACAATGAATAAGTCATTCCTTTATAAGATGATCAAGGTTCAAAGAGTAACAATTTTCCATAAAAAAAAATTTGATACTGGAAGGAATTCAATGATTTTATTTAAATTTTGAACTTTTATGGCAGTACTTTGTCTCACTTTCTTTTTGTCCTGAAAGTTATTTCCCCTAATTGTGTTCTGAATTTTTGTTGCAAGTGAAAGAATTTTTTCTGCACAATGATGACACAGATCAGGATTATACATCCAATTCTTGTGCTCAGTCATCTAGTAGTTCATTAAGCAGCACTGATGAAGGACCTGGAGTGGCCAACAAGGAAGAGGAAAGTATAGAAACTGATACACAATGAAAAGGCAGTAAGCAGAAATCTGATCCCTCAGAATGGAGAAGAGATGTCACAAAACATCTCAGAAAGTGTGGGTAAGCAAGCATGTCAAGCTCATAGAGACACCAGAAAATTGCAGACATGTTGTCTCTAAAAATGTAAGCTGTAATGCTACCTAAAAACTATAATATGATCAGCAACAAATGTTTCCCAATTACTGGAGTCTTACAGACTTGGAGTACAAAGAGTAGCTATGTATTACGTGAAAACAAGAAATCTGAAGCAGAGATGCAGCAAGTGGCCCCAGAACCACACAGTCTTCTTCCAGTTAAGTGAACAGCAAGTTCATGGCTGCAGAATATTTTTCAAACTGATGTTAGATATGGTGGACAGATCTCTACACAATGGATCTGAGAAAAAATTAAGGGAACCAAAGGATTACTTTGGATGATGATAAGAGCAAACATGGGAAACATAGTAAAGTCCATGCTAACATTAAACAAGTTTGCAGCACATCAATTTGATTCCAAGGATTCCAAGCCACTATACACAGACAAACAACACTCAAAGAGTCAGAGAATGTATAAAATCTTTATCTGATCTTCATTGTGATTACATTGCTCAGTGCAAAAACAACCGTCAAACCCTCACAAATTATAGTCAAATGTTTCATGAAGAGCAGAACATCTCTTTCCCTTCTCCTAATAGGGACCAGTGTGATGTGTGTGAACTGCATGTTAATGCAAATGATTTGAGTAAGAAACCAAATTAAGGAAAACATAGCATGCAGAGTACGCTAAGTATAAACAGAATATTAAACACAACTTTACTGTAGCCAGTTCTGACCTCCAAATTGTCCAGCCATGCACAGAAGGTGAGATTTCAATACATTGCTATAAATCAAATCTCAATACTGTTACTGTGTACGATTTTCAAACCAAGGAAGTTGACTGCTTTCTTAGGCACAAGGCGAAGGGCAACAGAGGTGCAAACAGAATTGGATCCTACCTAATGAAATACCTAGAAGATAAAGCAAATTCAGTATCCAGCAACACAATGGAAGTTGTACTATACTCGAGTAACTGTTGAAGAAAAATGTCGGTACTCAATAGCCATGTATCGTTATGGAGCAATGTTCTAATTTTCATGAAATGTACTAAAATTTATTTACTTTTTTGTGATATTCCCAGTACCAGTTTCAATATGTACATGAAAAATGTCACAACTCAAAAGGGTGAACTTTCTCAGGGGTTGAAGGAGTTCATTTTGAATATGAAACTAGTGTGGGCTAATAATGCCTATAGTATAGTAAAGTTGTATGTAGAATATCCGAACACCTCGTATTAATTTTACACACACGTATACATGCACGCACACACACGGACCCTGTATAATTTTTATGAACAAATTTTCAAAACCTCCGCTGGAAACTTACCATTTATTACTTGCGTCACTTTTCTTGCAGATGAGTGACATGTGACAGCAGTAGGCATTTAGCCAGGGTTTATAAAACAGATACTTAACACATAAATCAAAATAAAACTGTTTTGAAAAAGGAAAAAGTACTTTATAATGATAAACATAAATATGAGGTTACTACAATATATCTTCTACCATTAGCTCACCACTATAATTCTGAGCCCTAATGAATCAGAAAGTTACGTTAATACAAAATATACATTTTTGGTGAAATCAATTAGCATACAATATTTCTTGCAAACAATCCAACTCTGCTGGTTGCGGTGACTCCTTACAGAGACTTATGCAGCTGAGTTGACACCTGTACTTTGCTTCAACTTAAACCACGGCGTTTCTTTGTATAAGAACCACAAATCTGAAGCCCACAGGAAGAAATTCAAGAAACCAAAAATCTGAAACAAAGCATTTTAATAAGACCAATATCCTGCAGGATGTGATGCCGTGCAGTTTGGTACACAGTATCAGTGTTCCAGATGAGCCTGTTGCTATTACTTCAAGATCTGAAGATTAAGGCAGCAGGCTCCTCCAAAAAAAGAATACCCATTTAAAACACTACATAGCATCACATTCCAGAAGACTGATATTAGTTTAACCTTTACAGTACCAGATTTAAATTCTCCTCGTAGGAGCACACAGCCTGAATTATACTTGTATGACAATTAAAATTACTGTATTTACGCATGTATAGGCCGCGTGCGTGTATAGGCCGCAGCACAATTTTCAGACAGAAATTATAGAAAAAAATAATTTTCTTGGAATATTATTTCAGGAGTAGAAATTATTCCGAAATTTGGCAACGTTAATTTTTTTAAATGAAGTGTGATTTCGAATATTTCGAATATAAGCCGCACCCCAGTTTTCCTCTTGAATTTTTGGCAAAAAATGTGCGGCCTATACATGCGTAAATACGGTATGTCCTCTTTCATAAAAATGTGAGCTTCTCCAAACTGCTGGTGATAAAAATGTAAAACAAAAATTATTTTATAGTGAACAAAATGTAGATGACGGCATTGCTAAAATTTCATTTCTACAATTTGTTATATGCAAGAAACTCAGGAATGAACCTGTTATTCACCTGTCTGCCTTCCGAATTCTAATGGCTGTCCCACATCAACATATTGTCCTCATAGATTCACTTTAGTGCATCAATCCCTAAAGCACACAAAAGTGCACAAGTCAATGTCTCGTTTTTCATATCTTATCTTACCCACGAGTGAAACAGAAACAACACTGCAGCTGCATTGCCCTGGGTGGCCAGTGGTTCTTAGTATTGGCTCTGAGGAAGTTTACTTTTATCATAGCATCACCATTTATAAACCATGTCAGGAGGCCCAGTGTCCCAACAAGGTTCTTACCAATCACCTCCTGAATGCACGTAAGTCAGAAACACTGTAGCTCATGTCAACTTGCTCTGTTTGGTGCAACTATAATTTCCATCTTTTGTTGGACAGTTCTTCACTTATATTGTGGTTTATGTACCGAAGGTGTCCGTAGCTCAGAGTATATAAATCGCTGAATGGTATGAGGGAGAGTCAGTAAATAGGTCACTGTTGTTTGTTCTTTTTTGTGGGCAAATAGATTCAATGCAAAGGATATTCATAAAAAAGTTTCCTGTTTACATTGGGAAGTATATGTTGAGTAAAGCAGTACAAAAGTAGGCGGAGATATTTTGGATTTTATGATCAAATTTATTGGACCTTTATACAGTTTGATACATGCCACAAATGACCACCTTTGACTGGACTCTTGGCTTCTGACCAAACTACACTAATCCAGAGTCACCCACTGTTTTGACACAGTTATGGTTTTTGCTTCTTCCAAGGTGCTGGGAAGTGGCCAAGCCAAAGGGAGTAATTGAATAAATGTGTCAAATGCACAAGAGGTCTTCTTGGAAGATGCCAGAGTCATTTACTTGGTGTGCCATCAAAACCACATGCCTTTCATAATTTCAAGGCTTGTATTTCTTTTGGGATGTCACTGGGTCAGATGTTAATGGGGGGTCATTCACTGACAGCAGCCAGCAAGGCTTCAACGTGAGCCCCCATGTGTTGTCTATGGTCACAGTCACACAAGTCATGCGTTCATAACTGGTTTTCTATGCAGTCTGTGATTATGCTGGCCTTATCAATTGGTTAATACACAGGAGTTAGGGGACAATGAATTGCAGATGCCTTTGATCCACTCCTTCTTCAGAGGGATTCTGCAATAGGCCATATTGCTTCAAGTGTGACTTTGCAGTTCATTAACTTTGTTTCCCCATCTTTCAAGTGCTCATTTCTGGACCATTCTCCTGATATTTTGAGTGACAAAGTTTATTGCAATTTTGTATGATGAATCCCTGGTTTCTTGCATAATTTTCTGAAGTTTCTTTCATTCATTAATAAACAACCATTCTAAAATTGTAGTTTTCCTAGTTGATAGCCTGTATACCAAAGCTATGGAGGATGCAAAGTCATGTGCTGCTTTATCAGCCACATCAGAAGAGTGAATTTGGATATCAGGATATGTAACCTCAGAGGTGAGGCTTTAAAACAGCTCTCAGTCTTTCAGTTTTTCAAATGGATCTAACGCTTCCCTCATTCTAGCACTGTGCAAAATGCTGAACATTACTGGCAGATGAATTGAGTCCAGAATGTTAGTGGCAATGACCTCTGACAATCAATTCTCATGTACTGCAATGTTAAGAACAGGACCTCCACCATGAGGTGTGCAATGTGCGCAGCATTGTGGAGCTGATATTTTGAAGTTAGAACTAACAAAGAATGCCAACAGCTTCAAGCCTGAGGGGTCAGAAGCTTTACTATTCCAAGCAGGGTGCTGCATTCAGGTCACCTGCCAGGATATATTTATTTCTAAAACTTAATAGCTCTGTGATGTCTGTGTCAGTGCACAGTCCTTGCATAGATTTAGAAACAGCTGTAAGGCACCTTTAAGTGTTTCCAATCGCTATGAAGACCCATGTTGCTTCTACTGACGGGAAAGGAGGTAAGTCAATGCATGTGTGAGAGATGCCGTTCTTAACTGCAATGACAGTTGCGCCTTTGTGCCTGTCTTCACGGTTAGACCAATAAATATTCTTTTGAATGTCAAACCCCACATGAGATTTCAGTTTCATCTCTGAGAAGACGGCAACATTCATTTTTAAAGCCTTGCAACTGTTTTCTGACTTCATAGCCCTGCCTCCCAATACCATTAGCACTGCATGCTATAATCTTCAGAGGTCTATTTTCTTTTTCTGTTAGAGCATCAGCCAGCTCTGTCATAATCTAATGCACCATAGCAAAGGCAAGAAATATGTCATCCACTACATTAAAATTTACATTTTTGGGTTCCACTGACTGTCTGATTCAAAGTCTAAGTCAAAGTTACTTTATCACTGGTGGTTTACCATTAATCAGTCTTGGTGCCAAACCCCCTGAGGCTCAGAACCAATTTTTCTTTTTTGCAACCGAACCCTTGCAGTCATAGTCCTTATGTAACACCCTCTCTAATGAGAGGATAGGCTTGTCTCTTACAAATATGCTTGGCCTTTTGTCAAATGTACGTATCACACATACAGCATGTTATTGAAAATTTTTCCTTTTGCACTATAAGCATGGCCTCTGCCAGTCCAGGCTTTGCAAAGCAGCTCATGCCTATGTTATGTATCTTATGCTACAACAGCAGCTTAGTCACTTGAACAGTTGTATGCTTGCCTGCCACTAAGTTTAAGCTTCTTATATTTTCTTTGCCTGGCTTCACCTTGTCCTATACTCCAAACATGTTCATTCTCATGATTTCATATGACTTCTGTTTGTTGCCTGCATAGTTATCTATATAATCGAATGTATATGGAAGGTTGTAAGCCATGTGCAAATTGTGGGCCAGTGGGCACCTTGGAAAATTTCCCAAGGTGTGAAGAACACTGTTTTGCAGGTGCTGCAATTTTAAAAGCTACTGAATAATTTCAAATCAAAGTCTAAGTCAAAGTTATGTTGTGACTCAGTCAGTCAGTGAGTCTGTCCTTGTGTCAAGCCCTATCTGTGGCCCAAGACCACATTTTTATTACTGTCAGACAGTTGTGGGTTTGTTGATGTGGGGAGCCCTCTCTGAACAGATGAATTGCTGCTGGTTCTCACCAGAGCAGTCAGATTCGGTCTGAGCTCACCTTGTATGACCTCAGAACAGACCCTACACAGAACATCATTTCTAGTTGTTATTTAGCAGCCATTGTATGGCAACGGCCGTCTCTTCTGGCTTCCATGTCAGAGTATTATGAAGTGCTGATAGGTCACCTATCACATGGTAATGAATGTATATGTGGCGTGGCTAAAAGTTTAAGGAATGACTATGCAGTTAAGTTAATTCTCAACTTTCCAATTGAGTGTTGCTGTGCCCTTCAAAATAATTTCCTTTGGCAACTAAACATGAAGATATTCTTATCTGCCACATTTGGAAGCATTTTGGAAATCATCTTTTAGTATATGTGTACTATGCTACTGGATCTCCTCTTATGACCCAAAATGTGAGCCTCTGGAACAGATTTTTGTACTTCAGAGTAGAAGGAAGACACGCACAGCCAAACTGGGACAATAGTGACGATGTTCCATCATAAGGACCTCTTTCTGGTCAGAAATTGCCTCTGTGATACTGCAGTGTGAGCTGGTGCACCATCTGCTCACTCTCTCCCACTGATTGTACTACCTTCTGGCTTCTGGGTTGTCCTGAAATATGACACTATCAAGAAAGTTTGATTTGGCTTGAATGTTGTCAAAAAAATTCATTCAAACTTGAATGATCATCAGTCAAGTTCTTTGGCCCCATCTCAGCATGAATCTTTTTCCTTCTGAGACCGAAGGTTAAACTCTGAACAGCTTTCTGTTTTCTCATCCTTACTTCTTCTGCTCCTCATCTGATAGTCACGCTTCAATCAGTATGGACAAGCCGCTGTCCTACTGCTGGTGAGCCTGATCTTTTCCTCAAGAAAATCATTTGTGCCACTCAAAAACTTGTCCATCTGACATTGCAGATATCCTGTAAATGTCTAACAGTTTGTAACTTTCAAAGGCCGTTTTCTTCAACTTCACCAGAAATTTTAGATTAATGCACTGTTCAAGAAATTATAAGACACATTTAGGTCATTGAAGCACAAAGCAATTTAATTTAATATCATGAGCCATACAATAAATTCTCAAGAATTCACACCCATTCCAATACCAACATGCTATGACAGGTTTGGGGCAGTTTGCAGCAGCAGTAATTCACTGCTGCCCATCCTGGAACTTCCATGGACCTCACACGCACAGTATACAGAAAATACAGTCTGCTTAGCTGCATTATAAACGATTATATAACTGTATGACTTACCACAGAAATGGTGAGCTCTGAAAAACTTCCAATTTTAATGACTTTGCATATCTTTTTACACTGAGAACTATCACTGATGCTGTGCAATGTTCCTTTCAATCCATTCAAGCCATTAGCCCAAGCTGCACTACCAGATAGCCAAAATACTGCCAAGGTAACGGTTAAGAAGAAATCCTGCATATCAAGAAAGTTTTAGGATTTTATTAAATATGGTACATGTGTATATGCATGCATAAAACTTCACCAGATATATCATAAATTTGTATCTAAGCAAATTAAGTCTTACGGCCAAGGGGAGCAGTCCATTATTTTGGTACACTGCATCAAACATAATGTACACAACAGCTATGCCAATACAGTACAGAAATGACAGCACACCAGTAGCAACAAAAAACTGTGCATCTGATGAAAAGTCTCCAAATAAATGTAAACTGTCATTTGTACTGCAGTTTGCAATCTTACATTCCACACGATCCAACCTGTAAAATTAAAGAACATGTATATTCACTTATTTAAAGAGACTAAACACTTTCTACCACCTTCAACAGGAGCCAAAGAGAAAGTGAAATGAAACAAACATGGGAACAGAGACCAGAGATAAAGGAACAAACAAACTCCATGCCCTGTAGTCATCAAGTGAACTATACCGACCGAGCGGCCGCAGTCTGTCGGCGAAGTTAGTGCCAACTTTAGTGGACAGAGGGTGTTGCGTGGTCAGTGCAACAGATCCCCACGGCCGTTAATCTCGGTTTTCTAGACCTACTATGGTCTGATTTAAAATATGGGGATATATTACATTTTACAAAACACTGGTACAAAGACTAGCAACTTAGGTATACACAAATTACTAAATTTAAATTAGATGACTCATTTTCTAGATTTAGTAGTGAAGATGGGGAGGCATGTATTTACGCAAAAAAAAAGAGAGAGAGAGAGAGTGAGAGAAGTCTGGAAACAAAACAAATGAAGTATCTTTAACATGAAAATTAAGTTTCTTTTTAAATGGCAGCAACAGAATTACCAGATTATCAAAATTATTATTTGTACATATAGATCACCTGATGGAAAATTTTATATTTTCTTGCATAAATTGAATTCATGGTCCAAAAATTAATTTTGAAAGAAAAAATTCACACCTTAAGTGGTAACTGGAATACAAACTTCTTTCAAAAGAATATAAATTTCAATAAACTAAAAAAAGTCCTGATATGTAATATAACAAACAAGGTAGTCCTGCAAAAAAGACTTATAAAAAGCACCGAAGCATTACTACATATGATTATCATGAATAAAAAAAGTACAATCAATAGTAATAGACTCGGGGGTTTCCGACTGCAGTGTCTGAAGTATTATCTACATATGTATTGTGACGTGTATGTCCGTTGCTAAAGCAGAATAGATCACTGAATGCCATGCTGCAAGGGCTGAATTATTATGACCCACCCCTCATACAGTCATTCATATCCACTGCTTGGCAATGACTCGGTAAACACATTCCTGCATAAGCAAATGTGCAACAATAGGACATCAGTAAACATACCTCCTTAACAACAGAGGCTGTGTTTTCTGTGTGGTCCCTACAAAGTGATTATAAGGAAGTGTACAGCAGTACAGAACAGTGGTCAGGAGAGAGTGGAGTAGAGTTCGAGATGCGAGCCTGCAAGGATGTGGGCTTGAGAGCAGAGGAACTGAATTGAGTCAAGTCTTCAGAATTGGCAGCTGCAGAATAATGGCAAGAAAGGAATTAGGCACTGAAAATAAGACTTTGTGTGTGATTTGAAGTTACCTTGAGGCTGTTATAAATCCGTTGCCAGGATATGACTAGTGAAGACTGAGAATCCTAGTGTGTGTGCAACAGTGAACTGTAACCTGTGTAAATCAGTGATAGCACTGTAATTGCCTGTAGTCCCAAGTTGGGTGAATGTATAAGGTGCAATAAATGCAATCACCCAATCCAAAACTTGTCTTATAAGTCACCCTACACATGACAGTATCTTGTAAACTTTAACACTAGGCTACAAAGAATGAAGAAAAGAGTATCAAAAGAAGGCATAAAAGAATGTGGAATGCCTAAAACAAGGAAATGTGGCAAGAAATGTTTTTAGAATCAGAAATGCCAAGTGCCAAATTTAATGTTTATAAGGATACTTCATTACTTTCATAGTTTGTTTGTTAAAATTAATTCCATGATTAAAATAACACAGAAATGGCTGGATTTCAGAGGGAATAAGGACTTCTAGTAAAATATGAAATAGCTTAGAAAAGAAAACCACACTTATGACAAAAGAACAAGCTTGTATCAGCAGATAATGACTGATATAAAAATAATAATAAAGGAAGCTAAGAGACAGCACAATAGATATATACCAAATGCAAAAAATTAAGACCCAAGCAGTGCGGCACGTTAAGTGGAACCCTGATCACTGTGGCACAGTGGGTCCTCAGGCTCCAGATAGGGAAAACGGCCTCTGGATATGGAGGGTAGCTGTGAATATATGAAGGCAAATCGAAAAGTCTTTACCCCTATTTTCTTTCAGCCAAAATATTAGTGTGACTGAGTAACCAGGTTATACATTCGATGAAACTGGGTATGCTTGGATCGGCCCAGCATTAAGTCTCGGCTACTCCACGGCACTGTGCCGCTGTCAGTCAGCAAAGATGGCTGGTGTGCTTAACATGTCCATGTCGTATGAGCAGTGAAGTGTTAATCATTTTCTATGGAGCAAGGGACAAACGCCCATTGAGATCCATAGGGAAATGCAGCCGATGTATGGGGACAAATGTCTCGCTTTGACAAGTGTGCGGTGGTGGTATTGTGCGTTCACTAATGGCCGGGAAGACCTTAATGCCAATAAGCTGTTGGATGATCTGAACAAGGCCAAGAGAATAATGATGTCACTGCAATATTTGCAGTGTTACTCCGAGGAGGGTGAAAGGTCCCTAGATCTCACTGTCACCGGTGATGAAACGTGTGTATTGCATGACATAACATAATGACATGTCCTATGCTAAAAGTTTGACTAATAAGAATGAATAGAAACTAAACTAAACATTTTACTAAAGTGGGTCCCAAAGTTATATAAAAAAAGTCAGTCTATGATGTCATTCATATTCAATTTTACTTCAATGAATATATGCCATGAAACATGAGCTGAAGTGTATTGAATAAGAGACCCCAATGTTAAGATATAACAATGCATAATGTGGTCCTATTCTATCTATGAACAATGCAGACAGGAAGTGGAGATTATTGTCTTGAAGTAGAAAACTTTAATTTCCTTAAATGTGATGCATGATTTGCCAAGTTCTTTGACATGAATCAACCATATCTCTGCTAAAAAAAGTAGATGAGCGTCTTTCAGTAAATGACATCAAAGTTAGACACTTCATGCCCTCTGCATGGCAAAATGAACCTCAGTTACTCCTGATGCACTTTTCAAACACCTGCGATCCTATATAAAGTAGCTATGTCATAGTTTATCAGGTACAATGAACGCAGCATATTGTGGATCTCTTTGGGACACAGATTAACTGATAACAATAATTAATGAAACAAGAAAACACCATTGTTTAATGAAGCAGAGGAGGAATGTGTACATGAAAAGGTGGAAGCCAACAGAAAGAAAACTTTAAAACCGAGCAATATAAAGTACTTTAAACTGACTGTCCACTGTTTTGCTGAGAAAGTAATTAAAAAAACGAAACTGTCACAATGCTTCTGAAAATCAATACATAACATTCAAATCAAATTAAAAAAATAGTAAAACAAGAATTGGAAAAATTATTTTATGGCCAACTGCCTGTTTTCTTTTCTGACAAGGTTATTAATAAAACAATCATATTCATGTTGTAGATCAAGAACAAACGGGGATGTTATGTAACCACTTCCACTAAAGGCCACGCCATAGCTCAAGTGGTTAGTCGCTGGCTTCCCACTATGCGAACTACTTCCACTGCATGTGTGTCAACACCATGATAGGCAAAATGTGATAACAAAAACCGAAGCACTTCTCCACGTATTAGTGTGTCTGATTAGGACTTCATAAAAGTGTTAACACCAGAGGAACAATAACACTATTTGTATGTGTAACTGCAGTGAACTCCCACCCCACAAGCCAAAGCAGGATAAAGTGTCTCACAGTTTCACAGTCAAACATGAAATTAAATGGAGGCTACGGGTGTCACAAGCTACACATGCTTATTAACACAAACCCAATTAAGAACCATGTACTGAAACTTCCATTAAACAGAAAAGCAAAATGGTTAGTGGTAAACAAACATGGAAATGAAAACTTGGGTTCCATACAGGGCAAGCAATTTATTGACCAACTACGCAACTATTAGCTTTCCAAGCAGGACTCTCATCAAATTACTGTGTGTAAAGTGTCCATGTGGGTGCATCATCAAACAGTGACACATGCCATGTCACAATTATAAAGTTGCCAGTTTCTGTTTCCAATATACATGCACGTATAATGACAACCAAAACTGACACCAGGGAACTTACTGAACACGTGGGATTTCTCTTTCATAAGGCTGCCTGCTCAAGGTACAGCATGCCTTCAAGGTGCTTTGGATAAATTATACTTACTTGTAGTTTATGGTACAACTGTGTCATATAAAACAGAACCATTCATATCAGTCTTGATCAAAATGCGTCACTTAAATAATGAATATAATGTAGTATTTACTTCAAAACTTCATCAACTGCCCCTCTACTGAATAAAATTGCCGGAAAGGAACACAAAGCAATTAGTGCTCCCAGAGACTCCAATGTAGAACTGTAGTCATCAAAGACCTTACACTAAGGAGTGGAGGGGAAGAAGGATTATCAAAGAAGTCTGTGACAATCTTCACACAGGGACTGTGATATTATGTAACCTTGAAAATATTACACACATAACATCAACCCTGCAAGATAATATTTGGAGACAAGGGTGAATACAAACACAGACCTTGTGAAAGCCATTTATCTTCATGAATGTTGCCGGTGCTTTCAAGGGCACCAAGTTAATAAACACCAGAGTATGTACATGACACTTCTGCATTATACATTTCATACTTTTTCAATTTCCTGACTGTTGCAAACACTGAAATATAATGTCATCACCTAATCCCACTACTGTGTTGCTGGTGGTCAGACTTTAACTTGGGGGTACTGATATTTATATCAACGGAAATGTGCTGCTACGTCTGCTTGCAGTGTTACACAAGTACATATACATCCAGTGAGTCAATGTAATTGGTCTTACCTGAAAGGATATGAGTACTCCAGTCTGTACTCATGTTCTTCTTTATCACATGCAACTGTAATTGCCACAAAACTAGAAAATCCTGTTGTTGATGCAAATGCACATATTGAAAATATCTGTTGAGAGGAAAACAGAATACCATAAGAAATTCATACATGTATTCTTGTATAAAATAATGCAATCTCTTTGATTAGCAACTGACAGAACAGTAACTTACAAACTGGAGTATACGCATCAACCCACGAGGTTCTTTGAACACTCCAAAATTCATACTCATAGCAGTCCTGATACCCTGAAATAAATATGTCTTTGTTAACTACAAGGAAGCAACAGATGAAACCAGGAGCAATGAGTTTCTTAATAAAATCCTACCTGATATGGTGAGCCCGCATCTGGATCCTGAGCAGTTGGCTGCATGCAAATAAATATGACACACTTAAAATAATTTATAATTCATTATGAAGTGCACAGAATAATCACCATCTATAATATTAATATTAATATTAAGAGCTGTATTTGCTGTACATAATGTTGCACTAATTACTGTATGTCAGCTTGCTGGTAGCCAAGGAAAAAAACATCAAACACACACTACACCATTTTCGAAACTGTAAAATTATTCTGTCAAGTTAAAATTCTATAAGATTCAAAACACATTACTACTGTCCATACTGTACACTTCATACTGATAACAAAGTATTCCATACATACACACACACAAGCAGCTGTGCCCCATGCAATGACTCCTCACGGAATGGGAAGTAAAACCAAGCCCTCCATCATCATAATTAGAATTTAACAAAGTAACTATTTAAGGTCAAGCACATGTGAGATCAGAGTTTGCCAACTGCACGCAAGGTTACTATTAAAACCCATGAAGTGCATGGCACCACCACTGTGACAGCACGTTATGCCTGTCTGGCTGTAAATGGGTGATGTATACGGTAAGACCACACGAGTGAGCATGCATCCTTTTAGCAACTGAATATGTTAGACTACCCACACAATTTTAAAGAACCATACATTACAATGCACACTTCCACTTTCAACTGTTGCTTTTAGTGTACTTTACTTCCTTAAGAAAACAAAGTAGGCTTAGATCACCATTTTCGTTTCTCCTCCTTTCAAATTCTGACCTAATTAATCAATTTCTCATTAAATATGATAATCAATCCAATCAACATGGTGGACAAGCAATATTTTCACTCTGACGATGACAATGAACCATTAAAACTACGACATGAAACTGCATAATGTATGTAATTTATAAATATTCCTACAAATGACATTTTAAATATTATTTGTAAGTCAACCTATATGACAAAAGTGTAAAGCTTATCTGACAAATTTAATGTAAACAGAAGCTGTACTTAAGTAAATAAAAGAAAATACCAACGCCAGAACGCCCAACATCATCGCTAACAACACCAACACCAACAAGTCTGTAACACATTTGCAGTTTCAAGCAATAAAACATAACTGATTCTAGGAGAATGTGATCCTACAACCATCTACACATGAGCCCAGCATGCTTACCTGCTAAGCTAAACTGTATTTTATGGTTGGATTGTAAACTTACATTACAGAAGCATAACAACAAAAAATCTGTGGGATTAGCAAATCTAAGGAACAAGAAATCAGGATCCAGAAGCTCTACCTACAACCTTTTGTTACTACACGTGACTAAAATAGCATCACTGACATGATAACAGTCCCCTGTACTGGTGTAGATAATTCTTGCCTCCTCTTTTCACCTTATTTAGAAAATACGTTTCTTCTAATCTCTGTTCTAATAGCAAATGTTACCAATTTTCAGTCAGTGGATACTTTTAAAGAATGAGATACTCATCCTCAGCTGCTTAATATGGATTCAGAATTCATTCAAAACTTGTTCCACACTTCTCATTTATGGTCAAATGTTCAGATCTAATTGTAAAAACAAGAATATGTTAGGAAGGAGATAGTCACAGTATAACACATTACCCAGGTTTGAACAAATTTCTTCTACATCTAGAAGCCACTTCCAAAAACTAGGAGCCAGGATAAAAACCAAAATACCTCAGTTACGAAATGTGCTCATTCTTAATAACAAAAAACAACTAAACATCTACACATAAGCTACATCCAGTGCCTTTCATGCTAGGAGATCTCAATGCGCCACTGCCAGAATATGGCGAACACTGCAATCTATAGTCTCCTGTTTCTATAATATGGTGACAGGAAAGACAACATAATTGACAAATAAAAGAGACAGGACTGAAATGTGTGAGAAGGGAGGAAGGAGATAATGGATATAGGGATGGAAGAGCTGGATAACTGTCTTGGCAGGAAGGAGTGGAACAGTGAAGACAGAACAGCCACATCAAATGGTTGGGAAAGCAATACACGAGAAAGCAGAGACAAGGGGACAAAAACATGGAAGGAATAAGGGAAAGGAAAGGAAAGGAAAGGAAAGGAAGAAAGAAAGATGTTATTCTGCCTATCATCTCTGATGAGTCATGTACTTAGTAAGTAATATGATTCTAAGAGTCATGAAAACTCTTGGTGCCATGTTGGCCTGTGAAGCCTGCAACATCTCAGTACAACTTCACCTTACTGTGTATGCTACTCTAATTTTCATGCACGGATAAAGAAATGTTACACATAATACTCTGTTTCCTGTCCAACTTTACCATTCCAGTTTCATATTGAATGGGCATAGGCTGCGGACAAACAAAGTCTGTATTAATTATATGATTACTAGTACTGACATTTAGGCATGCATCATCACAGTATAACACGATAATCTCAGACCTCCAACAAATTTTTAAGACTAACCCTGAACACATTCTACCATCCCGTTAACTTTCTTATGTAGACTAAATATGTCTGAATCCTGAAGTTCAGTGAGTCTTCATACAAACAATGAAAATATTGATTGGAATTGTACAACTTAAGATAAAATTACAGGCAGCTACTACTGCTTTCTAGCATTCACAGAAATAGTCTGTAAGAATGTAGTTATATTGCCATACCTGAATATCATTTTCATAGTTTACATTTCCAGAGAGCTAGAGCAGACAGAGAGAAATGCATGTATTACCAAACGAAGACATCTCTATTTTAAGGTAAAAGAGACAAATATAAAAAAACTGTATACATTTAACTGATATAATTCTCTATGAAGCATGTCCAAGAGCCATTTCAATGCACTGTGAGAACAAATACCCCTGCATTTCATTCATTCATGGAGACACTTTTAAATTATAAATAAGTTCAACTGTGTAGAAATATCATGGCCCTTGAAAATATAGCTATCATATTCCAAGCAGTGCACAGTTTTCCTACCGTCTAATAATGTTCCATCAACTGTGGAGGTGTTCAATGACATAAGAAGAAAATTATGTACAGTAAAATAGACAGGGAGAAAGCAGTCAAGATAATATCATAGCATATATATGGCGAAAATAAAGAAAATGTGTTGCCACATTTCTGAAACCATGTTAAGAGTCAACTGAACAGAGAGATGGCTGGAAGATGGATCAGCAGAGGTGGACCAATCGCCTGGCCTCTAGGCTGACAGATTTAACACCACTGGAGATTTTCTTGTGGGGACTGTCTAGGTATTTGTCATGCCACAATGGCGAGCACACACTGAAATTTTCTAAGAAAGTTATACTTGTACACTCAGAAAAAAAACAAAACTTTGATAGTTTCCCTTTATAATAGCGCAACCCATAAACATGTATAATTAATGCTTTCTGGGATATAATTATTTTATTTTGGATACCTTTCATCCAGACATCCTGTACAAATTGTCTTGTGATCAGTGTAACTACAGATGGGATTTGGATTGGTAATTGGACTTATTGGACACTTTAACACACAACATGTGACTACACTTTACAAATCACTATAACACACAGACTAGTGTCCTCAGTCACAGACTTCACTGCGCTGCTTGATAGCAGCCTCCAACAGCAGACATTCCCCTTCCTCTGGGCTCCCGAACTTTCTTTGGCCTCAGCTACCAGCTTCTGCAACACTCAACTGACTGCCCACAGACTCTCAAGTCAAAATCACATAGCGACTGGCACTCAGTCAGTCAGTCAGTCAGTCTTGGTGTCAAGTCCCAGTATTTATTACTGTTTGACAGTTAGGGTCTTGTTTTTGTAGGGCGCCTTCTCTGACGAGAGGACGGGTCTATCTTTTGTATATGCACCTGGCCCTCGCCAGAGCAGTTTTCTCGGGTGTGAGTCCCTTGGGACTCGCGACCATATTTTACTGTCTCAGAGTTTGAGACTTCCTTTCTCATCACCTCCTGCGACTCACAGGGTCACAGTGGAGGTATTCGACCCCACCTCTACATGGGTTACAGACTCTCTACCATGTCCTTGTTATAGAGAGCCTCAGCATAACCATAGAGAAAACACTGCTTTCAACAGCTCTTATATTGTTCCAGATATCACATGACTACTGAGCCATCGCCTACCAACAGGCACAGAGCCGTTCCTTAGCAATGGCTGTCTCTGCAGTTCTTGCTTTCAGCATACATGCCACAATATCAACGATCTGCCAGCAACCATCAACCTGCAGTCTAAATCCACACTACATAGGATTTGAGGTTCTCACAGTTGGTGGCCAGGAAGTGTTTTGTCTCCTGGGATGTAATGCCATACAGTCCACTGAAAGTCAACTGACTTTTCAGAGGAACGTGCTGCCTCCATCTTCAGGGTCGAGGAATAAGCTGACCAAGAAACCAGCATGCTACCTGCTTTCATGCTGGCATCTTGCGCAATTTATTCTATTCTTCCTAAACTCACACACTTTACTGATATCAGGATCATTATTTCACATCCAGAAATAGATACTTCCAAAATTGCATAAATGACGTTTTTGTTAGCACAAAAAACACATGGTTTACACCTATAAACTTACATTTTATTTTGACAAAACATCACGTACTCTTGTACTATGAATGAAACTTGTATTCATCTAAATATAGGGTATGAAGGCAAAACAATGGAAGAAGCAAAAACAACTGAATTCTTTGGCCTTCAAATTGATGATAACTTCAACTGGAAAACCCATTCTATACACATTATCCTTAACTAAGCTGATTATGCTGCAACATAAGGATAGTCACATCACTCATGAACACAGAAAGTTTAAAATTACTTTACTTGGCTTACTTCCAGTCCATCATGTCATATAGAAAACATACTGCAGGGAAAGTCTACAGAGAGCAAAATAATATCTTATTAGCGCCCACTGTTTATCTTCCATCAAAATTGCAACACTTTTACATTCTAAACTTCAACATTACATGTTTCGGCCTCAAACTGCCATCTTCAGGTGTTTTTATGTTACAGATATTTTACTAGAACTGTGTTAAAAACTGCTACACTGTTTTAATTCGTGTTAAAATCACATGCTGTAGTCTTCTTTTTAAGTAAAACGAGATAAACTAGATGAAACTAGTAAAGACAACATCATGCGCTGTGGAGGAAGTACATACAAACCAGGAGCATATGGCAGTCAAAAACTGAAAGTAGACCACGAACGTGAGGGGCAAGCTGCCAAGAAAAACACCTTGATACATTTACGAAAATGACGACACCCCGGGCGAGGTGAAATAATATGCAACAGAAATTTTAAAGGATTTTATCTCGTATTACTTGAAAAATAAGAAATAAAAAAAGAAGACTATAGTGCGTAATTTTAAGACGAATTAAAACAGTGTAGCAGTTTTAACACAGTTTTAGTAATATATCTGTAACATAAAAACATATGAAGATGGCCGTTTGAGGCCGAAACATGTAGTGTTGAAGTGTAGAATGTAAAAGTGTTGCAATTTTGACGGAAGATAAACGATGGACGCTAATTTGAACAATTGCAACAGGATGCTGAAATACAGAATCATAATATCTTATGTCAAAAATAATGAGAATACTGGCAGGTGTTAAATAAAGCTCTTGTTAGGAACTATTTAAGAAATGCAATATTTTTCTGTTACCTATTGAATTCTTGCTCCAATTTTTATCATTATATGTTGTGGATAACATGAAAGAATTTCAAACAAATTCAGACATTTCCAATTTAAGCACAAAACACTCGTACAGATGAAACCTCCATTTGACAACCATTAACCTCAGGGAATATAAAAAAGGAGTTACTGTACTGGAATTAAGCTATTCCTCCATCAATGAAATATTTTAATTACAATATAAAACTGATTAAGTCAGCGTTAAAAGAAGAACATGCACCTCGCTCTTCCCTTCTGTAGAAAAATTATCAAAACTTCTCAATCATAAATACATATAAGTAATAATTCCTTTTATTCTGTAGATGAATTTATTTCTTTTGATTTTTCAAGTGGGTAAATGTAATATATAGCTGATTAATTTGTTGTATTTGTGTAAAGACAATGAAATTAATGGTAACTAGATTTAGATAATATTATTCAGATGACAAACCCCCTATATAAGGGTGGTACAGTGTATACTGTAAAGATATGTACGAGAATTAGACGTAAAACTGACAATTTCCTTATCCAAATGGTTGTAATACCTGTATGTATGGATTGTTGAATGATAATAACAGTGATTATGTTGCTGTAACTATTTTGGTGTAATTCTGTATTGCAACAGAAGTTTCTAAACGGTAAATAGCTGTTACAACTTTGTATTTGTACTTATATTTGCACTGGTAATAAGAAGTGCATTTCTGACATTCCAAATCCTTAGATTAGGCCTAAAAAGTATCTATGAACTGTAAACAAATTCTGTTCTATTGCATTCTACAATTAACACATTTCGTTGTAGAGAAAATTCGCAAATCAAGTGTTCATAAAACGAGGGATACCTGTACATAATAAGTGAACTACAGCTGTTACAAGCTGCAGTCTGATCATCGGAACTTCTCAATATGTGGAGTCAAGTCATGTTTTCATTAACTCTGATACCCAAATCACAACTGAAACAGAAACCTGTTCTTCTGTCCTTGTTCAACAATACGTTATGCACGTATGTAATTATTTTACCTATAACATCACTTGCATTAAAAAATTCCAGCTGTACACACGGTAAAATATTCACAAAATAATTAGTGGGCGTCCTCCACTTACATTATTAATTACATGCAGTACGTACCTGAGCTGAGTCCATTTTCAGTTTAAATCAATGAGAAGTTAACTTTCTTCTTCTTTAAATGCTGACTTCTCCTTGTGCAAATACTTGTAAAATTACTAATGTCTCGCAGCCTTATCACAATTAGCACACCTCCTACAACATCTTTAACTTCCTTTGACACTAAAAAAACAAAACAGAAACGGACTCATGGGGGCCTAATTGCTATACAGTGTCACCAACAACTGCGTGCGACATTGTGCCACACCTGGCCCTATGGAGTACTTCCGGAGGGTTTTTCTTGATGCGCAGCTCTGAGCGCTCTGAGAGTCATAGGAGGCCATGGAAAGGAAACCCAATGCCCGAAATATTATCGGGCGACCGCGTTCTTGGGGGCTATAAATACGGGAACCTGGTTCTCCACGTTGGGAGTCTCGAATCCCACACCGTAATTTATGATCAAGAGTCCCATGGGGCTACGACCTGAGTATTACCGCGCTGGTGAGCCCCAGCAGCAATTGTAAACGACAGACCCATCCTCTCCTCAGAGAGGGTGTTACATACACACTACAACCCCAAGTTTCCAATTAAAAGATGCTGGTTGAGTCTCAAAGTGCTTGTCACCAAGATAAAATGATTGGTGGTAACGTCAGTAGCAAATTATCTCTGACTCTGACTTTTGGTGTAATCTCCAACAGGAAAGACACATGGAGATTGCACATAGACATGATCAAACCCAAAGCCTTCAGAATATTATTTATTAGAGTACATTCCCTATTCAAACATCAGCAATTAAGAGCTAACATTAAAATGATCCTCCACAAAGCACTCAATAAGCGTATAATGACCTATGCTTGCCCAGCCTTGGAGTTTCCGTCAGCAACATACCAAAACAGTAGCACCTTCAAAACAAGTTCACCGCATAATTGTAAATTCTCTAAGGCGCACACCAGTTCACAATATGCACATGGCTTTCAAACTCCCATACTTATATGATTATACACGTATAACAAATTCATGCTGGGAACACACACAAGTCATACAAAATCATGAAAATCTGAATGTGCAAAACATTGGATAGTGTGCTATAACCTACCTCTGATGTACAGCTGCCATGACTATTGCTCGAGATGAGTTCTTTATCTCAGGGATACAGGTGCTTCGAATCTGGGAGTGGAAGACACTTCAGGGTTCATGAATTACAGGGTCTCCAGAACACACCATGTACTGCAGTCTTAATTTAAAATTTTGTACAGGGATCAATCTTTACATTAGTCCTCCAAGCTAGCTGCTCCGTCCATCCTACTCGCTACCCTTACTGCAAAGCTCTTCTCTGTTATCTGTCTACATTTCAACAACCGCCCTCCTCCGCTCCCTATAACCGACTGCCCTCTCTTTACAAGTCACCCAGTGGGCATAAATCAAAACAAGAAAAATAACAACAGAAAGCCAAGGGTCAAACCCGGTATCTGTCCTACATTCGTATTTTTCGAGATGCCCATCATAAACCTTTTTAGGCCTTCAAGGCACAAGAGCAGGGACCTAAGACCCCTCCTGGCTGATCTCGCACAATGTCAGCCCATGGGTTTATGACACTAGGGGCAAACTGGTGATGTTAGGGACAACACTGACACCCTAAGCCTAAGGAAGACAATAGTTCAATTACAACTAGACAGTCCCGGGATGATATCTCGCCAGAGGAGCATCTCTCAAGTCATAAATTGGTCATCCCCTTAATTAAATAATTTTAGCGAGGGACATACAGTTACAGTGCAGACACAAACTTGGCGGTGGTCAAGCGACTAGACTGCCGTTGCAGCGGGAGCTACTGAAAATAGGCCATGATCTCCTGTATTGAGTCTGCACTGACAAAGGCCTTGTATATCTTGTATATACATACTTTTAATAACATGTAAAATGTAAATATATGTACATACTGAAAACTGACTTATTACTGCTGGCTGTGAATCTGACAAATGATAAGACCCATCCTCTCATCAGAAAGGACATTCCACACGGACAGGAGAGTAACTGTCAAACAGGTGCTAATATCAGGTCATCAGCCCCAGATGGTGAACTAATATCAGGTCACGAGCCCCAAGACAGACAAACTGACTGACCATCAGTCGAATTGTGACTTTCACATTTGGAACTCATATATGCTACAGATCACAAAGAGGGTTATGTTCTCAGAGAGCTGCAGAGAGAACTCAATGCTATTCAGACATGACATGAGTGCTAGAACATAAGAATCAATGAAGATAAAACTCAGGCTATTTACTTTTCTCATAGACTTAGCCCTCTAAGGTTCATCTTACATTTAATGGATGGAATATCCCCTTCATCAATCATGTAAAATATCTTGATATAATCTTCGATAAGAGGATTACATGGATACTACACACAGAAATGACTGAAGCCAAGGCCTTCAGAACATTTCAATGGTATTCATTTAAAAAATAATGTTGAACTATGTTGTATATGAATAGTTTAAACACGTTCTACTCCACCCAAGAGAAACTGTTTAATTCTGGACAGCACATGAGGTGACAAATTCCCTATTCAAATTTCAGTTTAATTCATGTGTACAAGTCCACTGTGTGATCTTACAACATTGTTTACGAATCTTACGTAGTGTCTGTTGATCGTCTTTGTGGTCTAGTGGTCAACGTTCCTGGCTACAGTTCCATAGGTTCCAGGTTCGATTCCCGGTGCTACCAGATTTTTTCTGAGAAGTAGTGGGTCTGGAGCGGGGTCCACTCAGCCTCGTGATGATAATTGAGGAGCTATTTCAAGGAAATAGTGGTTCTGCTCTAGAAAACCGAAATTAAAGGCCGTGGGGATTCGTTGCGTTGACCACACGACACCATCTATCCGCTATAGTTGGCACTGAACTTCACCAACAAGTGGCGGTCACTTGGTCGGTATAGTTTGCTTGCGGACTAAAATCACAGCCTTTTTCTTATGTAGTGGTGGTTATATTGTGTGAATGTTGCCTATCTGACCCAATTTTAGTGAACAGATTTTACTGTATGATGTGGCTTACTAATTATTTTACCTGCATCAAAATGTTTGCAACTTTTCCTCAGCTCATAAGAGATTACACATATCTGATCACAACAGAAAGACGGAAACAAGTATGGTACAAAAGAAAATACACACTTTCAGAGAAAGACAATGAAGTCAGTGCTGAGAAGTTTCTCACAATGTTGATGATGATGATGATGCTATTGAAGGAAACCTTGCCTGAGGGAAAAATGTGAAGTTGTTCTTCCAATACTGTGAAGCCACAACAAGGTTTTACATAACACAATTACAAGATGAAAACACATTAAACATGAATTAAGGCAGAGATGATCCTGAAAGATGGCATCAATAGCACGTTTAGTTTGTCGTCAAATTTAATACTATGAAAGTACTGTGTGGTGTTAACTGATGCAGTATGTCTGAAGACTTGTTAGGTTTCCTTCACTAGTTGATTCATACATTATTTAACACTGCTGTATACGCAGCAGAGATTACTTGAAAATAATAATTGCAAATTATAAGAAACAGATTCCATGTTGTGCACTGAAGAATAATGAGGATGGCAAGGAAGAAGCAGAAGCTCTCATGGCACTGTTTGAGAGCACAGCACAGCACTGCTGCTGCAGTTCCTTGTGAGAATTAAAAATATAGCAGTTTGGATAACAAGTTTCCCAGTAGAGATCTAAGCTGTACACTTCCTGAATAAAGTACAGACAGGAAACTAATACAGCTAACTTGCTTAGATACTGAGACACTGTGCACAGAATGAGACTGCTGTTTCCAAACAGATAAATAAAGGCTGTTTTCAAATCTCAGTTTCTCATGGTGATACTCAGAATACAGTCCTCCAAACTGTGACACTGCATAGGCTGGTACTATAAATCAGTGCCTCTAAAGAGCCTGTATTGACAAAAAGGTTTGTGACATTGATGGATTAAGAATTTTTTTTTTTTTTTTGATGTAGAGCAATGGTGATGTACCATTTCTGCATAAGAGCCAAGTCAGGAAAAATAAAAATACTTACTGGCCACATTTTAAATAACAAAACCAATTTCTTTACTATTCTACTTCACTGGGTCCCCGAAAGAAACAAATGTATATTCTTATAACATACATTACCCATTTTGAGGAACAGGAGAATGTCAATGAGAAATTTGGCGCTGCATTTAGCCACTAAAATGTTAATACTGAAGAAGTAGCAATACAGAGGCAACATTCTAATCTTTCATCATCAAAATGGTTTCTAAATGTATCATTCATGATATTCACCTTTGAAAAGTATTGTTCACAAAGATATGTACTTTCAAAACGGCCTATCATCTGTAGTGCAGGGTTTCTTGGTAATGAAAACTTACCACCAGATAAACAGAACTTACAGAAACTAAGAAGTGTAGAATCTCAAAATTTGCTCTTGGGTCACTATACTGTAAATCTGTAATCAACTTAAATTTATCTGGAAGAGTTTTGACATTAACATCAAATGATGCTGAAAACAAACCAAGAAATCAAGAACTAAATTTTTGCTTTAGAATCTGAATTTCTTCAGTGTATTTCTTAATGTCACCTGCTTTGTCAGTCCTTTGAGTTTGGAAGTGTGCCATACCATGTCAGATGCAGCATGTGATCAAGAACATGTGTAGATGCTGTGGTACAGGAATGAAAAACTAGAGAAAGAACTAAATACTGTTACAGCAACAGGTGCAACATTCTGCTTAAATTATGTCTTCACATTTTAAATGTACAAATTGTATTATAAGTGATACAAGGCAATAGTTTCATAATATTTCTATACTTTTATGGTATTACTACTCATATTCTTATTAATCATTGACTTTATTATTTTTTGTTTCTGAAAATAGATTGTGGACCATATCATGAAACAAAGTGGGTCGCACGTAGGCCACAGATTGCTCATCACTGGTGTAGAGGCTTAAATAATAAAGATAACTGGGTTTGTCTGGCCTTTAAAACTCTACTTGTTCTAAGTTCAAACTGATGTGCGCCAGATTAGTTTGAATCTATATCTATCTTCAGGCCTCTACCCTGAAAATGAAGGCGGCAGGTGCTTCTGTAGCATTAGTACCTATCTAACAGACCACAACGGTGTCATGTCTTGGAAGACTGTATTTTTGTTGCATCTCATTTCTATCTGTTACAAAATCTCTTAACTTTGTTTATTTTAACACCTCTTCTCCTCTCTTTTACAAAGAACAATGAAATTAAACGGGAAAATACTTTTCAAATCTTTTTTCTCAAATTGCTATAAAACTGAGGATCTCTTATTAAAATTTACATCAAATGTTATGTATGACTGATGTATAACAACAGTAAAACAGTAAAACTACGCTTCAAATAAAATTTACTTATTTTCAAAAGAACCAGTGCCTTCAGTGGAAGAGGTGTTGACATACTGCACACTACAGGGCATTCAATGATTGAGGAAACCTGGCAGCAGCATTGATCAGACAGATTTCTCAGAGATTGCTGCTGTAAATGCCAATAGTGGAATGAGTCATTAGCGCTGATAAATATGCGCACTCTCGCTAGCATAGAGCAGATGGAACGTTTCTTCGTGACTACTGTGCCCCTCCCCGCTAGCGAGAGTGCAGTTGTGTCACTGATTCCCTCACATCAGTTTCTGTACATGCACACATTTATAAGAATACTGTAAAAAGATAACAAACTTACTGTGCTTTATAACAGGTGCTGAAAGTGACCCCATTATGCTTGCAGCACATAAATAAATTATGTGACACTTTCTGAAGTTGGTACATGGTAATTGAACCAATTATGCATGTTAATTCTGCAGAGTTTCAGTGGTGCAGGCATTATTCTTGTAGACTTTTCCCTTTAGGTTTGCCCAAAGATAAAAATAGCAAAAAATGAGTTCCGGGAGGCCACAGTCCCCTCCTGATTATTCTGTCTTCAAACACTTCCCATATTGTGGTCATGGTTGCATTAGCCATATTTGCTGTAGCGTTGTCTTGTTGAAAATACCCATATTGTCTTTCTTAAGCAGTCAGCTGATTGAAGAACGGGTTAAGTATATCATTAATGTAGCGGTCAGAGTTCATGGTTTCGTGGAAAAATAAGGGGCCAATGATTCGCCGCAGACTTACAGCACACCACACTCCCACCTTTTCACTATGTAATGGCAATTGCTGTATAGCATAAGGATCTTGATCATTCCATATTCTTAGATTTTGTGCATTGACATGGCCACTAACGTGAAACCACACTTCATGAGGCATGAACAGAAGCTGTGGATCCATGATTCTATCATGCACATTTTACAGCAGCCAGTTGCAAAAACGAGTTCTAGCTCCATAATCTGGTTGTTTCAGCTCAGGCACAACTGTTATTTTATACAGGTGAAATCTGATTAATTTTGTGGCTGTGAAAGCAGATCCTAGTGGTCCCTGTGCTAAGCATCTTAATGATTTTAGAGGACTGTTATGTAGTCGTGCCTCAATATCCCAAACCTTTTCTTCAATCAGCACAATCCTCTTTGATTGCTTCTTTATGTCACACACTGCACCTGTGGCCCGCCACTTTTTCACAAGCTTGGATACACATGACTTTGTGGGAACTGGCGAGTCAGGGCATTTTTGGTGAAACTTATGAATACGTTTTCTGTAAGTTTATTCCTTGTAAAAGTTTCAACAATAAACACGCTGTGTTCATTTCAGTATCAATGTCAACTGCCTATCAATACCTCTAACACAGACCAGCTATTAATGCAACTTACTGCAGTGACAAGATCAGACCACCTGACGGCATGTTTATCAGTGCTAATGACTCATTCTGCTATCAGCAGCTACAGCAGCAATCTGTGAGAAATGTTGTGCCTAATCAATGAACGCAGTATATATCATTCCAGATGTTTAAAACTACTGATTGCTGTTACGAACATTCTGCCTTCTTTTGCACCAGTTCTGCGCTGGATCTGAAAATGAGGTTGCAACAAATAAGATGCCACACCTGTACACAAATCAATCCAATTTCATTTCTCTTCATTTGAAGCAGTGAATGAACCAATTACATATCTCAGTTTGTCACAAGAATACCTTATATTGTTAGTACGTTCACTACACATAGCAGAATGACACATTATTATATAGTAATATGACTTATAAAAGTAAAAAAAAAACTCTCGAATTTCCCATGTTAATGAATGTCATTACACCATACCTTCAAGAAGTTCAGGGATAAAAGTGAATATAAAGACACTGTGGCAAGTATACTAAATTAATCTGACTTGTGCATGTTTCAACATATATACCTCTTACATACAGTTAGTGGAAATATTCAAGTGTTGTTAGACTTCCAGGTGTAATATGTACCAGAGGACACCATGGTGCACAGGTTTCCTAGTGAGGAAACTGATCATCTCAAGCAGTTTATTATTTAATATGGTTTTGGCAACTGGCACAAAATGTTGTGCACAGGAAGTGCTATGGCCCCTGCAAGTCCTATACCAATTGAATCTGAGAGGCTTGTGATTCCCATAGAAAATTCTCTTTTCTCAAATGGAACCTGGAAGCAAACACAATACAGTAGAAAATACACAAATATTTTCTTCATACATGCACAACATACAGCACGCTTATATTAGAACACAATATCTGTTAACAAAACTTTTCAAGAACAGTATAAAACTTTATAACAAGCTGACAGTTACTCCTACAATAGCGTACGTCCTATCTACTATGAAACTACTATGAAACTACTCGTACTAAAACAAAGATTCTTGAAATTTCAATGGAAAATTGTAGCTATTATCAACATCATTATTGAATCTAGAGCATAAAATGTTCAAACATACCTGAATTTTTTTTATTTGTTTCATTCTGGTCCGTCACACTAACAATTACAAAGACAAAAACAACTCCATCCAGTGTGACTATTTAAGTTTTACCACTTGAAAACTCAGCACCCTTACATGTTTCGATCCGTAAGGATCTTGGAAAGTTATGTTCTAATCCTAAGCCAGAAATAGGTCTAAGTTAACTCAAGGCTTCTCCTTCATCTGCAGTCCTGCTCTTCTACTTTTATGCTTAAAAGACAATGTTTGGCCATCCTGCAGTAACCTTGGTCTGACCCATACCATGCTCTGCCCACTAAATGTGAACTACCACAGGTTACAGGGCTGAGATGTCAATTTGATACATCTTAAAGAGAACTAATTTAATTCTGTGTTTCTCTTCCTATGCTGATATAAACTTAAGAGAGAACTTATATCACATAAATACTGTGTTCTTTAGCTCTAAATTGTATTTAATTCTGACAGCAGTATGAACCAAGAAATACCATATTTGCCTGAATATAAGTCATACTTTTTTCCCAAAACAGACACTTTTAAAATCAGGGCACAGATTATAAGCAAATCTTAAAAGAAAGAAAAAACCTCATTGGACAGTTTAGATCTGGTAAATGTATACAAATCATTCTTGTGACTAAATGATAACTCTTTAGCTTTGATTGCACGCTACAGTGACACAAACTCAATTCAGACCAATGATAACAACTAATGGAGTGCATCACTTCTAATTTTCTGACATTATTTGAGCCTCCTCTCAACCCAAAAAATTAAATGAACATGTTTTAAGTAATGTATTAACTATACACAGTAATATAAAATTTGCTTACTCATAAGTATTCTGATTGTTTTGCACAGAATTTTAAACAACAGCATCATTCTACCAAAATCATATCGGCGGCCCTGTGTTGTGAGATGTATATCAATATTTTATAATTATGGGTTTCACAATTTGCTTAAGCTTGAAATTAAAGAAGGTTCTGTGTTACACATGTGCATTTTTTTATTACTTAGACTCATTTCTCATCAAGATTGCACTAGTAATAAAGAAGAGTCTATACATGAATGACGTGTTAATTTACCAGACACTCTTAAAATATTACAAACTTTGAATGGACAGGGGTGATCATGTTGAAACAAAGAGGCATAAAAACTGAACGACTGCAACATGCTTACAATGGTCACTACAAAACAGCTTTCATGTACCAAACAGAATTGACAAGTATCAGACAAACTGCTACAAAGTTTGGAGTTGATGAGTCAAATGGGCATCATGGATTGTCTACAAATGGTAAACTGTTAATAGCAGCTTCAACACATGCATGCATATGCACACACAGAACTTTAAGAGACCTTAAACACGACAGGCAACCAGATGTTCATGAATATATGCTTTCTTCTGTGTAACAGAAATAATGATGGTATGCCTATGAGTCAAGAAATCATTTAGTTAAAGGCATTGGAAACCACCAGCTGCTTGGGTTTACTTCACCATGAGTTTAACACAAGTACCAGCTAGTGTCAATGTTTTATGCAATGAAGAAACTTGGCATTTTGACTAAAAAACAACATTAACACAAATGTTGCTGTCGGATTTAGACACATAGCATGTTTCCTACTCATACTGTTTATTGTGCTATGTGCAAAGCACAACTTTCTCTCAGCCAAACTGGAGATGGGGATTTTCTTCTACATGCCAAATAACACAATTATGGAGAATGGTACCAAGCCAGTAAGAAATGGAAATATGCATATAATGGTGAAATTACCCCCTGTAATGTGATTTTGGAACAAAAAACTTGTTCAAACCCAAGAAAAGGACAGGGCGACACAGAACTGATGACTGATTAGTTCTCCACCATCTGGAATAAGAGACCCGGTGTTCTTCTAAAAATAAGGGCAGTTCTAGTGTTGGATGCTTTCAGATGGCATCTCACTACTAAGGTCAAGTAGACAGTTGCATGCTTATACTCTGACCTAGCAGTCATAACAATGTAGTGACTTCCCAGCTACAGGTCACTGATGTGGTTTTCAATAAATGTTCATGGGCAACATCAGAAAGCTATATTCTGTGTAGCTTCTGTCTGGAAACCATTCACTCACACCTGCCAGCGAAATCAAGAAGTCAATCATGTGTCTTCCTAGTCACTGGATTCTGATATCTTGGGAAAGAATATCTCCCAGAACTGGTTGTAAGTGGCTTAAAAAACTGTTGCCCATAAAATGCCTTGGATAGCAGTGAGGATGACATATTAGGCAAGACTGTGGAAAAGAGAGCAGTTGTGAAAATGTGGTAACAGCAATGAACTGGGTGCAAGTTTGTCTCAAAGGAGGAAAAAACAGTTACTGATTCTGCTACATAAATACCTATTATCAATGATGTAATTTTATTCTACATGTATGTGTAGTTCTTAACATATCATTCTATAAAAAAGAAAAATGGTAGTGGTGATGAAATGAAGATGTTGTACTGTTCAGTGGAGATAACACAAATGTTAATTTTCATTCATACCCAACTTTATATTAAGGGGGAAGTGAGAAATAATGCTAACAAGTAAAAGATCATGCAAGTGCATAAATTTGTTACATCAATAGTATATAGCTTTGGGGGTGCAGTTTATGTATGAGCAAATACAGTACTGTGACATGGATGGCAGAACAGAAAGTATGGGTCACGTGAACTCTGTGGTCTCACGAGTGATGTCACATACCCTCACTCCTTCCATCATTATGCAACGCTCAGTAAACACCCCCTCCCCGTGGTGATGTAACAGCACTTCCCATAGTGACATAACAGGGGACACCACGGTTACTACACAGCAATAAACACCTCTCAGCAGCGTTGCCCAAAAACGCCTGTAAACATGTCGTTTACGTAACATTGAAGCAATGTGGGTTTTCTGCTGTCCGACTGAGGGTTTATAAGGGAGACTGGAATGCGTAAGGAGAGTTAAAATGTAGCAGCCGCCAAAGACAGTTGAAGTCTAGCAGTCACCAAGTTCAGTTGCAGCGAGTGAACTGTGAATGTGAAGAAGTTTAGCAGCCATGGAGGAAGAAGAACCGAACGCGTGATAAGAAGAGTTTATATGTAATAATCAGTGACAGTTGGTGACAACTGAGAAGGCATTGGGAGTGTGTAATTCAGTGACACTTGTATAGCTCCCGCATTATTAAATACGTGAAGACTACTGAAGAGATTATTGTGTAGGGTTTGTAAATTGTCTAAACCCGCAACAGTGTTATAAGTATTTGTAGTTAGTTAGTTGTTAAATAAACCAATTAGCAATCTGAACTGCGTCTTTAGAGACAAAACACATTACAGTATATTAATGTGGTTTATAAGTGATCTTATGACCACTGATCAACATTGAAGATTCATTAAGTTCATGGTACTGATCCACAAAGCTATGAAGGAAATTTCATTACTGTGCACATAGCCACTCCTCCCAGGTGGCAATGGGGGGTGGGGGGGGTGGTGCAATTAAGGAATATGCATTCTGTATCAGAACATACATTCACTTCCATTCTGAGATAGAACACCTTCATAAAAGTTTTCAACACTACAAACAAAAGTAAAATTATATTATGTCACCCTGTTAGATGGGCTATCAATATCTGTAAATTGTGACATGTAATCGTCGACTCAATGCAAACGAGTCACCCAGAATAAGCCAAAGTATTCACACACTTTTCAGCAGTCAGAAACTGAAGTTGTAATTAAACACACGGTAAAACTGAACTCTGTGACAAAGGAAACCACTTACCTCAACAGATATCCTGTAGAATGTATTGACATATGCTGCACCTCCAAGCAATCCCTCCCACAATACCACTGCAAACACGATCCATACACTAGGAACGAATAGATAAACAGCCTCAAATGTGAAGAAAATCACATTCAGGAACTGAAGGAAAAAACAAAAATTGGAGATGTATTAATTATCACTGAAGCACTTGACATACATTTTTTTTCTTTCATGTTTACGTTGTGTTTCATAAATTTCTAGGTACATTCTTCGCACACAAAACATCTTATGTGGCTCCATGGTATAATGCTTATGTACAGAAATGAAGTTAACTTTTACTTTTCCTTGCCTTCATTCTGGAAGACCCTCAGAATAATGGACTATCTTATGCACCAGTATACCAAGAACTCACCTGGAGAAGAGCAAGTACCCAGAGTTTGCGAACAACAAACAAGTTTACAGATGAGCGTGACAAGAACACACCAATCTGATAGTCAACTTGAAGCCAGCGATACTGTTCGTGTAGAGTGAGCCATATGTTAGGGAAGTAGATCAATTCAAACTGTAAACACAAATATTTTTGGTCATATATTTAGTTCTCATACATACAGGCAACATCTTTACACACTGCTGTCCAGGAACTGAGCACGTTCCTCCTTCCATTTCTAAAACAGATCCAGTTCCTAAAATGTGCTCCACTTGGAATACCACATGATGGTAAACCTAAGTGTAACACACCATTGTCAGAACTCTAAAACTGATCCCTAACCATCACATGAAAACTAAACCTTTATGAACTACTGTCCCCTTCAGTAATACCTTATCCCCAGTACACAGAGGGTATTATTAACACATGGCTATAAGGACCTTAGGAAAAATTATGTTTGTAAATCGAAAAGAGAGGTAGAAATAATTGTATGGTCTGATGGATAGGAGAGAGAGTAGAGAGGCAGAGGAGGGGTGCCTGAATACAACAGGGTCAATTATATGAGTTCCTGCCATGGATAGTTGACCCCTGTGACCAATTTTAACAGTAATATATTTCCAATCAAATACGTGAGCCAAAAACTGAGATACAGCCAGTGAAGAAAGTAAGCCAGAGGGTTCCGATCATGAGCTGTGAGTGGTAAAGTTAGAAAGACCACATGGCAGGGTGGATGATATTATGATGACTGTAACTATTTGTACAAGTAAAAGTAAAACCTAGCACTGAACAAAAGAACCATGTCCTTGTCAGGGCTAGCTAGCTTTTAGCGTGCATGACCTGAGTGCCTCCTGGCAGCATTGCAGAAAGGGACTCTGCTGGCCTGGATTCAGATGGTGCACGTGCTATGTTGCCTCTTCAGGTGTGTTCAGCTATTAATGCAAAGGTTGTCATTTGTCATTTTGTATGTGTGTGTGCACACATCTGTTTACACAAGCTCTTATGAAAAACCTGTTTTCCAGTAGCAGAACAGAATAACTGATATGTTTTATGGCAGAAATGTGTAACAGAATTTTGTGTCAAGCTTGGAGAAACAGTGAAGAGATGTTACAGAATGGATATGGAACAGAAGTAATGTGCTCAGCTAGTCTTTCTGTGGCGGAATATTTTTAAAGGAAGATACAAAACTGTGTCACTTTCATACATTCGCTTCTCTCTTAAATGCAAATTTATTTACAATTATTTCATTACTTAAAAATAAAATTAAAAGTTAAAATTAATATTAAAATTAAAAACTGATGCATGTTTCGGCTGTACTCGGCCATCCTCGGGCAACTGCCCAACTTGTCAAAACCGTAACACTGTAGTTTCAATGTAATTAAGATGAATGTTTCCCAAGTTAACATATTTCATTATTTTCATCTTTTGTCATCCACTCATTTAAAAGACATTTGCTTGAGAGCATCAATCATCATGTTTCCATGTGCTGCCTTCTTCCTGCAGTGTCAGTGTTTTCTGTAATGTGTAATGGTATGCTGTATCAATGATTTTATTATTATTAATTAATTTTGTTGGTTGCTAAACTGACTGACATGTGTTATTTTGTGTAGTTCATATAGATGTCAGTGTGGTGTTGTTATCTCGTTTTTATCCGCAATATACAAAATATATTACTGCATATAGACCAATTGCTTATACAAAACTATAATTTTGCCAGCGGTTCTGTATGGGCGTGAAACTTGGTCTCTGACATTAAGGGAGGAACATAGACTGAGGGTGCTTGAGAACATGGTGTTGAGGAGAATATTTGGACTGTAGAGAGATAAAGTAACAGGAGGTTGGAGAAAACTGCATAATGTGCAGCTTCATAACTTGTACTCTTCTCCAAGCATAATTAGAATGATCAAGTCAAGGAGGATGAGGTGGACAAGGCACGTAACATGAATGGGGGCAATGAGGAATGCGTATAGGATATTGTTGGGGAAGCCAGAAGGAAAGAGACCATTGGGAACACCAAGGCTTAGGTGAGTGCACAATATTAAAATGGATCTTAGAAAGATAGGATGGGATGGTATGGATTGGATTGATCTGGCTCAGGATAGAAACCAGTGGAGGACTCTTGTGAACACAGAAACGAACCTTCGGGTTCCATAAAATGCTGGGATATTCTTGAGTAGCTGCACAATTGGCAGCTCCTCTAGAAGGGATCAGCCATGAGTAAGTAAGAAAGACCCACTGCTAGGCAAAGACCTCAAAGCAATGAGTACAGCCATTGCTATGCAATAGGCAAATAAACAAACGGTTGTTTCTGAGCAATGGCTAGGTAAACACATTCCCATGAAAACAATATCCGGGCTATCACTAAGCAACAATCAATGACAACAATAGAAGAATTGCTGGAGGCCATGTTTTCTGTTGATACCGCACTGAGGCTATATAACGAGGACCCAGGCCGGCTGAGAGAGTTCAGTTGTGGGATAGTCGCTGGACAGTAATGACGTGAGTGTGGAAAGTTGAAAGATCTCCACTGTTAGAAGCAGTTGGTATGGAACAGCTATTGAATACACAGCAGGCTGAAAAAAAGCTTAGCCAGTGCTGTCGTGATCTGTAAAGCATGCAGATTAGCAAGTGCTGTAATTACTTGTAGTTCCAAATGATGTGTACAAGTGTGTGAATAAATCAAACATCCAATCCATACCCCATCTTTAGTCACACCCTAAATTGTGACAATGTTTGTTACGTTTTTGTGTCCTTACTTACTTACGGACCTGAGCCTTCTTGAGAAGCTGTCAACTGGGCAACCACTCAAGAGTTTCCCAGCATTTTATGGAACCTGAAGGTTTGTTACCGGGTTCACAAGAGCCCTCCACTGGTCCCTATCCTGAGCCAGATCAATCCAATCCATACCATCCCATCCTATCTCTCTAAGATCCATTTTAATATTGCCCACCCATCTACACCTTGGTTTTCCCAGTGGTCTCTTTCCTTCTGGCTTTCCCACCAATATCCTGTATGCATCACTCTTCTCCCCCATTCATGCCACATGCCCTGCTCATCTCATCCTCCTTAATTTAACAACAACCATACCATCTTCTATTTCTATTCTCCCCCATTCGTGCTACATGCCATGCCCACCTCTTCCCCTTGACTTGATCAATCTAATTATACTTGGAGAAGAGCATAAGTTAGGAGGCTCCTCATTATGCAGTTTTCTCCAACCTCCTGTCGCTTCATCTCTCTTCAGTCCAGATATTCTCAACATCCTGTTCTCAAACACCCTTAATGTGAGAGACCAAGTTTCACACCCATACAGAACCACAGGCAAAATTATAGTTTTGTATATTCTAATTTTTATGGTTTTGGACAGCAGACAAGAAGACAAAAGGTTTTGGTCTGAATGGTAGCAAGCATTACCAGAGTTCACTCTCTTAATTTTCTCCTGAATCAGGTTTCGATCTGCTATCGTTGTTTCCAAATACAGTAGAACTTGGTTATAATGTCATCAAAGGGACCTAAAAATAGTGTCGTTATAAACGAATGTCTTTGTAACCGAAATGGGCACTTCCACAGTAGCCTTATGTTAGTCGCGTAAAAATCTACCAAAAACCGAGTTAAAATGTTGCATTTTTTAGTGAAATACGTAGTTAACTACANCCGTGCCACATTTTCAAACATCTGTTTCCTATCCTTATGTCATGCCCTGCATTTTGGTGATGAGACAGCAACATATACTTAGTTTTCTTGGTGTTTACGTCTAGACCAACCCCTTTACTTGCATCAATTGTAGTTTGTGTATTTTTCTTGTGTGTCTGGGTAGATTCACGTCATCGGCATAGACCAACAGCTGATGTGTCCCGTTTAATTTCAGTCCCACCTGGTTTCCCTGGACCGTCCTAATTGCATATTCTAAACCAAAGTTGAAAAACAGTGGTGATAAAGCATCTCCTTGTCTTAGATCATTCTGGATTGGAAATTTATCAGACAAATGTCTACTTATACAGACTTTACTATAAGTTTCATTTTAACACATTTTAATCAGCTTAACTAATTTCAAGGGTATCCCAAACACTATCAGAATATTGTACAATACTTCCCTCCTAACTGAATCATAGGCTTTCTTGAAGTCTACAAACGGCTGATGTACTGTCTCATTGTACTCCATTTTTTCTCTAATATCTGACCAATGCAAAACATCTGATCAGCAGTTCATCTGTTATGTCAACACCCACATTGATGATCCCTAATAATTACATCTATGTATGGACTTAACCTTGAGAGAAGAATATTGGATAAAATTTTGTATGAAGTTGATAGCAGTGATATCCCCCAATAATTACTAGTCAGTTTTATCACCCTTCTTGTGAAGTGGTACATTAATAGACTCTATTCAATAACTGAGAGAAGTAGTTCCTCCACCTATTCAAAATGTTGTGAGAATCTGCAATCAGATCAGCATTCTCATCCTTCACTAAGTTACTGCTAGGTTGGTAACCCCTCTTAAAATCATTTATTCCTCTATAAAGGTCTTTAATGTTCTTGTTCTTACTGTTCATTGCAAGCTCATAAATTTTGTCTTTCAGATATGCCTTCTTTTTGTTCCTGAAATGCCTGCTGGTTTCACGTCTTATATTCAGATTATCCCCATTTAACTTGCTTGGATCCTGTAACCATTGCAATTTGGCATGCTTTCTTTGGTCTAATAATTCAGAGCATCCTTCACCATGGCTTGTGCTTCTTCAGTTCATAATAACCTAGACTGTCTTTGGCAGAAATTTTTATATTCTATCTAATGTTCCCAAGCTTTATTAACATCCACCTCAGTTTCCAAGTCTTCCAAAGCTGCAAACCTATTTGAGATTTCAACATGATACTGCTCTTTACCCTCTACCTCATTTAATTTCTTGAGATTGAACTTCTCCGTATGAACTCTGGGTGTTGTTTGTTTTCTGACTGCCAGTCTTTCCCTAACCTTTGCCACCACAAAGTAGTGTTCAGTATCACAATCTGCTACCCTGAATGATTGGACATCAAGTATACTTGAGTGCCGTCTCCTATCTATCAAAATATGCTCAATTTGATTGTGCATCTTCCCATCAGACGTCCAAGTAAATTTATGGATGTTACGATGTGGGAACATT